TAAAAAGTGTTCTTTGTATATTTGGACTTATGTATGTAACTTATTTCATGAATTTTATTCAAAATTCCTTTTAATATTGTTTTAATTAATTTCGGCGAAATCATGTGTGAAGCATTCGGAAGATCGCACAACTCACCGTTATTAACAGCAACCACGGTCAGAATACCGATATTGACGCCATGAAACGAACATTAGTTGACAGAGAATGGATACATATATCATAAATTCCATACTTATGACTCATTAAAAGTCATATTTGCTATAGTTTGACGATTCTATGTCAACACGTAGTTCTCGCGATCACGTTCACGGGAGCCTTGATGGTGACTGGTCAAGACTAGTTCCAGGTGAAAAATAATAACCGGCAATAGCGATCAGCTGCTTCACTTAGGGTTATTCTTATTTAAAATATGTTTAGTAAAAGCTGCAACTAAATTAAATATTAAGATATTGGCATATATTATTCCTGATAAAAATAATAGTTTCAAATACAATTCTTGCCGATCCTTGCATTAAAATCCTGTAATTTTGTTAAGTTATATCATTGGGTGTGTCTTGACCGAATCACCGGTAGATTCTAAGAAAACGTGTGTACAGCTGATTGCTGTTTCTGGCTTAGTTTACGAGAAAATACACAAGGTAATCTTAATCCCTGGATGTAAAACAATGCCTAGCAGGAAAAAAAATACAATTTAAACGGTAAATCAACATGTCTGGTGATTTTTTAGCTCAAATTTTGAATTTGTACTGACCAAGTTTCTCATCACCCGTTCAAATGACATAACCACTACATGCATTGTTACAAAACTAACCTTGCAAAAATATCTGTAGAAACATGGCATTAAAGTGAAACTGGCAAACCTGCTCTTTGAATGACCTTCACTGTGACCTGACCTTACATGTAGGTCATTCATGAACTTTCCAATCTGGGACACGCCCCAAGGGTGACAGGTATAAGGTTCCATTTACCTACACGAAATCCTTCTTCACTTCAATAAACATGATAAACAAAGACCGGTTTTCAGGATTTGACCTGACATAGGCTATTCATTGAAAACTCATTCACAGCTTACTTTAAACATAACGTTAGGAAAGGATCATTTGACTTAACTTGGAACACTGTGCCCTGAAGTCATATTTTGTTAAAGTACTTGGATGCAAGTGTAGCCGGGCGTGGTGTCATGTGTCCAGCCACTGGGCTGCTAGTCAAAACATGAGGCAGTTCTTGAAGATGATGATGATTTTATTCTTTTGTAGTAGATGGTGGGAGGGAAGCTGTAAACAAGAGTCCTCCCTCCTTAAAGAGTTCATGCAGAATGCATGAGGAGGGCAGGTGAGAAAGGAAGTTAAAGAAGTGGACCAAAGGGCCAATCAGAAGAAAGGTAGCATCTGACAGATATTAAAGGAAGTCAAGATGCTTCAGTCACATAAAGTGGTGGACATATCTAAAAATAGATAGGGGGAAGTCCAGGTGAAGCTGGAGAAATTACAGAGGCTGTAAAAGGGTATCAGGTTGGTGTTAGTTGGCTGACATTCAACTGCAGACAAGGACAACATATAATGAACACAGAATGAAGTGATGGTGATAATAGATGAACATGTATGTATATATGTATAGAATGAATCTAAGGGGGTTATAAGTGGGTGGTACTTATGTGGCTATAACTCATTCAGAGTTAGCACCACCACCCGGCTACACAAGTGTCCTGACCAAGTTTGAACTATTACTGTTTAGAACTTAATGTATTTAGTATGGGTTATGGAGGGCAAAGGTGAGCATTATTTAGTTCATGGTGTAAGTAGGCATTATAATAGTGCATACATACAGATCAGAGAGTGTGCATTATTATACTTCATGGCACATGTGATTTATTACAGTTCAGGGCACAAGTATGCATTATTATAGTTCATGGCACATGTGATTTATTACAGTTCAGGGCACAAGTGATTTATTACAGTTCAGGGCACAAGTATGCATTATTATAGTTCATGGCACATGTGATTTATTACAGTTCAGGGCATAAGTGTAAACTATTACAGTTCAGGGCACAAGTGATTTATTACAGTTCAGGGTACAAGTATGCATTATTATAGTTCAAGGCACAAGTGATTTATTACAGTTCAGGGCACAAGTATGCATTATTATAGTTCAAGGCACAAGTGATTTATTACAGTTCAGGGCACAAGTGTGCATTATAATAGTTCATGGCACATGTGATTTATTACAGTTCAGGGCATAAGTGTAAACTATTACAGTTCAGGGCACAAGTGATTTATTACAGTTCAGGGTACAAGTATGCATTATTATAGTTCAAGGCACAAGTGATTTATTACAGTTCAGGGCACAAGCGTGCATTATTGTAGTTCAAGGCACAAGTGATTTATTACAGTTCAGGGCACAAGTGTGCATTATAATAGTTCATGGCACATGTGATTTATTACAGTTCAGGGCATAAGTGTAAACTATTACAGTTCAGGGCACAAGTATGCATTATTATACTTCATGGCACATGTGATTTATTACAGTTCAGGGCATAAGTGTAAACTATTACAGTTCAGGGCACAAGTGTGCATTATTATAGTTCATGGCACATGTGTTTTATTACAGTTCAGGGCATAAGTGTGCATTATTATAATTCAAGGCACAAGTGATTTATTACAGTTCAGGGCACAAGCGTGCATTATTATAGTTCAAGGCACATGTGATTTATTACAGTTCAGGGCATAAGTGTAAACTATTACAGTTCAGGGCACAAGTGTGCATTATTATAGTTCATGGCACATGTGATTTATAACAGTTCATGGCACATGTGATTTATTACAGTTCAGGGCATAAGTGTAAACTATTACAGTTCAGGGCACAAGTGTGCATTATTATAGTTCATGGCACATGTGATTTATAACAGTTCATGGCACATGTGTTTTATTACAGTTCAGGGCACAAGTATGCATTATTATAGTTCAAGGCACAAGTGATTTATTACAGTTCAGGGCACAAGTATGCATTATTATAGTTCAAGGCACAAGTGATTTATTACAGTTCAGGGCACAAGTATGCATTATTATAGTTCAAGGCACAAGTGATTTATTACAGTTCAGGGCACAAGTGTGCATTATAATAGTTCATGGCACATGTGATTTATTACAGTTCAGGGCACAAGTATGCATTATTATACTTCATGGCACATGTGATTTATTACAGTTTAGGGCATAAGTGTAAACTATTACAGTTCAGGGCACAAGTGTGCATTATTATAGTTCATGGCACATGTGATTTATTACAGTTCAGGGCATAAGTGTGACCTATTACAGTTCAGGGCACAAGTGTGCATTATTATAGTTCATGGCACATGTGTTTTATTACAGTTCAGGGCATAAGTGTGCATTATTATAGTTCTGGGCTTGATTTAGCTATACAACACATGCGCCAATGCAACCTGTTATTGAAAATGCAACGTAATATATATTGTCAATGTACCAAGTGCATGTAAAACAAATTCAAATGTTTGTCTGACTAACCATTACTTGTCAACACAACATCGAAATTTCAACACACTCGATACCTCTAAGCTTTATTTATCATACCACATCACTACTTATGTATTATTATAATTACAGGTTACAATAGGACATCATAATAATTCAGGGTACAAGAGTACATCATTATAATTCAGAGTACAAGAGTGTATTATCATAATTCAGGGTACAAGAGTGTATTATTATAATTCAGGGTACTAGAGTGCATTATTATAATTCAGTGTACAAAAGTGCATTATTATCATTCAGGGTACTAGAGTGCATTATTATAATTCAGTGTACAAAAGTGCATTATTATCATTCAGGGTACTAGAGTGCATTATTATAATTCAGGGTACAAGAGTGCATTATTATAATTCAGTGTATAAAGGTGCATTATTATAATTCAGTGTACAAAAGTGCATTATTATAATTCAGTGTACAAGAGTGCATTATTATAATTCAGTGTACAAAAGTGCATTATTATAATTCAGGGTACAAGAGTGCATATTATAATTCAGGGTAGAAGAGAGCATTATCATAATTCAGGGTACAAGAGTGCATCATAATAATTCAGGGTACAAGAGTGCATTATTATAATTCAGGGTACAAGAGTGCATAAAAAATTGTGCTATATACTGTAACATAACATAGAGGGGAATGATAAACATTCTCCCCCAAAATATGTGTACATTTACTGGTAAGCCAGGATAAGTTGAGTTGTGACCTGACAATTAACCCTGTATGACAATGTGGGATGTCCACTGGCGCATACCATTGTGAAGAAAGAGGTAGCGGTGGTGGGCAATAAGTAGTACGGTGGATATATGCGTGTCCCCTCTCGTCCTACAATGATGCTCTGATGCCCTTTAGCATAGATACAAACTGACCAGCGGCAATGCTAGCTTTTGACAACGCTTGAGATTTATTTGTACATTCTTTCTCTATGTAATTTATGACATTATAGGCCAGTTCTCAACCTGAGAATGTATGATTTGACCATGCTTACCCAGCTTTGACATGTTTATTTCTTTGTAATTAAGTTAATTCTGGTATCAATTTCGACCTCTTTCTAGTCTCATATTAGACTCCAGTGTTTCCATGGGAGTGTAGTAAATTTCATCGTTATGACCTGCACATGCACAACATGCGTACACCCTCTCTACCTGTAACAAACCAAATATGTTGGCCCAAATTCTGAGCACTGCCTACATGTCTCAAACATGTTTTGTGAGTTGGTTCAACATATCTTGGATTACCAGTAGATACTGATGTGTTTACGCCGCAGTCTTCAATGCCCCGGCTATATCAAGTCAGGGCCAGATAACCTGGGGTTAACAGCACCAGCAAGGCTCCATGCTGATGACCCTGCTTCATCCACACCTCCAGGTCCCCCTCAGGGACTCCTACAACCTGCAAGGGGAACTGATACAAATCCTTCCACAGTCATCAGCTGCATGTTAGTTTACTACACAAGTACTCACCTGGTTCTTTGGGGGTGTGTACAGGGGAGGCAATCCCTGTCTGTCTCCGCCTTGCATCATTCAAGATGTCTATGATCAATGTGGCAAACTCCCTGGCATTGAAACGAGCTAGTTTTTGTCTTCCCTGAAAAGAACAGACAACCAATGTTAGGAATTTATGTAAGCCCACCCTGTTCACTACACGCTGTACACACCGTACTTAGGCCAAGACCTGTGAAGATCCGGGGAAAGAATAGGTCTTCAGCACCCCATGTTCGTTGGGACCTTTCCCCATGTTGAAGCATATTGAAAAAACTTACCTTGTACTTACTTATCTTTTGTTGAAAAAACAAAACAACCGTGCAAACATAAGACAATAATACAAGATATATCCCTGTTATGGGTTTTCAGATGCTGAAGAAACATTCAAATTTGTCTCGATAATCACATGAACAACTGTAAAACATATCATTCTCTAATAGGCAAAAAGACATCTTTATCTTAAAAACAAGCAATCATCTGAGTACTTACAAGTTCTGTGTGACACCACACCCAGCGTTATAGTGCAAATATTTGTAATAGAAAACGTATGATGTCCGAAAACCTATGATCTGACGATAATAGTATTGTGTCATAAATAATGATAAAGGCATATAGGATGCTAAAAGCGCTGATCAAAAACGGGACAATCCACAATGGTTGTCCAGAATCACAATAATATTTTCGGAGTATTTTTTTTAAACCTTTGATTATATTTTTACAGGGAAGATGATTTTTTTTCTGAGGACTACTGTTTACACAGAGATTTCACATCCCTGCATGTCACTGTATCCCAATTACGTAGCTCGATGCTCATGATGTCAATCACTGCATTTTCTGGTCCAGACTCGATTATTTACTGACCGCCTTCATATAACTGGAATATTGCTGAGTGCAGCGTTAAACGAAAAACAAACTTGTGGGCAAAATAAAGATCAGAAAATCACTAAATTAAATTTACAACTCATTCATGTTGATCAGGGCAAGAACATTATTCTGAACCCTGTATAAACTTTCATGTATATTTCCAACACGATCACCAAATACAGGCAGCACTTGCGACCCTGACTTCTGTTAAACTGGGTCATGATGTACGAGGGGTGTTCATTAAAGATTTCCCCTAAACCACTTAGGGTTATCATATTTTGTTGAAATTTCACATGTGTAATGATACATGTATCTATGGGTTATGTCTGAATTTGCAGCACTGAACTATTAATCTTACCACTTTTACAGGTGTTATGATCGAGTAGGGTGTGACAATGGAGCCAGTAGAATACCGAGCAGTGATTAGGTTTTTATATTTGAAAGGTTGCAGACCAAAAGAAACTTTCGATGAAATGAAAGCAACTTATGGGGAAAATGCCCCATCATATGACGTTGTTAAACACTGGCATCGCCAGTTTCAAGTGTGGTAGGACATCTGTGGAAACAGCTGCCATTCCTGGTCGCCCCCATTCAGCCATTGATGAGGACACTATCCATCAAGTGGAGAATGCCATTATGGCAGACCGACGTATAACTGTTCGCCAGTTAGCACAAGATGTCAAGATCAGTGTAGGGTCTGTGGAAAAAATCATCCATGACAATTTGAACATGCATAAGGTGTCTGCACGATGGATTCCCAGGTTGCTCACACCTTTCCAAAAGCAGGAACGAGTCAATTGCTCAAAGGATCTTTTGGACATGTGCCAAAAAAACCAGGCAAACGTTTTTGACAGACTTATCACACAGGATGAAACATGGGTCCATCACTATGATCCTGAGACTAAAGTTCAGTCGATGCAATGGAAGCATGTGGAGTCACCACCCCCAAAGAAGGCACGTGTCCAACCCTCTGCAGGCAAGGTCCATCTTCCCGAGGCAAGAGAGTTAACTGACTATAAAAGTCCAGTTTCCACCCTTGCCGAACTAGGCTGGTATTATGGAGTTACATTTTGGCTGGACTAACGAGTCTATGCATAGTCCAATCAAAATCGCGCACCGAAATTGAAATCCGGTTCGCAAACTGTCGTGCAGATTTCGGTCGATTGCAGTATTTGCAAAGCATGTGCACCACCAAATCGTTGTCAGCAGATATTTTCAAAATCTTCTCATGTTTTTAATCAAGGTGCTCACATGATTTGATGCATTTAGCGATGTTAGACCCGTTTTATCACAATATAGATATTGATTATCGATCAGATCGTCCTGACCGGGCGCAACCATTTTGTGTGAAGCAAACGCAAGTGATACAAGAGGTGGAATCTGATTGGTCCTAAGGAGAGGCTTAGAACGGACATAATTGGTATTAGCCACTGGTGGCGCTACGATCGAGCCCAGTAATTCCAGCCTAGTTCGGCAAGGGTGGAAACTGGACTTTTAAAGTCAGTTAACTCTCTTGCCTCGGGAAGATGGGCAAGGTCATGCTCACGGTGTTTTGGGACCAGCATGGAGTAGTGTTGATGGATTTCTTGGCACAGGGTACCACAATTACAGGAGCTTATTATGCTTCACTGCTGCGGAAGTTGCGGGACGCTATCAAGCTTAAGAGGCGTGGCATGCTGACCAAGGGTGTCCGTCTCCTGCAAGACAATGATCCAGTACAAAAACTCTCATGTTGCCCAGACAGAAGCGCGTTCCTGTGGCTATGAAACCCTTCCACATCCTCCTTACTCTCCTGACCTTGCACCATCTGACTTCCACCTCTTTCCAACCATGAAGTCATTTTTGAAGGGAAAATGTTTCACAGATGATGAAACACTGATTTCTGAAGTTAAGTCCTGGTTTGAGACACAAAATGAGGGCTTTTACAAGCGAGGTCTCCATGGTTGCATAAAACGATGGGAGAAGTGTGTAACTCTTGGTGGTTCCTATGTGGAGAAAGACTAATACCTATGCAAAGTTTCAATCCACAAGGTCCATCTGAAGTGAATCAGGGGAAATCTTTAATGAACACCCCTCGTATATCTGTAGAAACCTGCAGCCATTAGTTACAAATAAATCTTAACATTGAAAGTGCAGGAGTCAAATATAATATTGCACCAGCATTCATTTTTGCCATATAGCGACAAGAACAGGTTACACACGTACAAGGAAGGGTTAACGGTTAACGCACTGACCTGATTTCGTGTTGTGGAGAGGTCAGGGTTCACAGGTAGAAATGGCACAGTTTGTCTGTCACTTAGTAACGTTGTGTTGTCGTGTGTCGCCAACCAAACTGTAGGAAAAAGCAGGAGGTTGTTAATGTCCTTATCATGCCTGTGAAATAACTACAGTCCGGAACCAGGTTTTGTTGTTCAACGCCGCACTCAGCAATATTCAAGCTATATGACGGCGGTCTGTAAATAATCGAGTCTGAACCAGACAATCCAGTGATTGACATCATGGGCATCAATCCAGGCAATTGGGATACGATAACATGCATCAACCAAGTCAGCGAGCCTGACCACCCGATCCTGTTAGTCGCCTCTTACGACAAGCATGGTCACCTTTTACGGCAAGCATGGGTTGCTGAAGACGTATTCTACCCCCCACCTTCACAGGTCCCGGAACCATGTAGACATTACTCATCCCTCTATGCCCATGGTAAATGTGTTATAGTGAGTCTGATAACTGCATGTCAGTTTCACATGTGTATTACCAAACTGACCCGTTATAGACAAATACCACTTTGATCCACTATCATAGGAATGATGCCCACACAACAAGGAATAAATAGGATGAACATTGGATTCAAACACACAAGCAGATCCTGGCAGGCCAAGGGACTCAACTCTGCACACTTGTTGTGCTGCCTTGTCTTTTTCCTTGTTTGTTTAGGTAAGTGCTGAATTCATTAACCTGCATTGTTTTAAGAAGCATTGTAGCATCTATATTACAGCCACCAGTGAAAGTCCGGCCAGAACAACCCTATGGCTGATAGATCTACCAATATGTAAGGGTATGTTACAACTGGCAACTATCAAAGTATTTTTCATACCCACTACTATGACCACAAGCATATGGTATAAATCAGCTCATTATTTGGCGAGTATTTTAATCACTAATGCAACAAATACAGAGATTAGTATTCAGTCACCTTGTCACTACCTCCTAATGACACCAAAACAACCCAACTTCAACCCAGAGTACTACGCTTTGAGATTTGGGTCTACAAAACTGGGCGTACGCCCAATAAAACAACATGCCCTGATATTTTGACAATGTAATAATGTTACAGCCATCCCAGGAGTGAAATTGGTGATTCTTATAATATTGTTGTGGCTACCAGACATTACACTTGTGCTGCACAATATCAATTTCAACAATACAATTCACAATAGCCAAACTGTTGTCACCATAGTCATATTGGAGTGAGAGAGAGAGAGCCACTTGTCTTTGTGGTGGACATGGAAGAAGGGGGTGATGTGGACAATAAGAGAGAGATGTGGCCAGAGAAGAAGGGTGTGATGTGGAGAATAAGAGAGAGATAGGGACAGAGAAGAAGGGGGTGATATGTGATATTGCTAAAGAAGGGTGTGATGTGGAGAATAAGAGAGAGATATGGCCAGAGAAGAAGGGGGTGATATGTGATATTGCTAAAGAAGGGTGTGATGTGGAGAATAAGAGAGAGATAGGGACAGAGAAGAAGGGGGTGATATGTGATATGGCTAAAGAAGGGTGTGATGTGGAGAATAAGAGAGAGATAGGGACAGAGAAGAAGGGGGTGATATGTGATATTGCTAAAGAAGGGTGTGATGTGGAGAATAAGAGAGAGATATGGCCAGAGAAGAAGGGGGTGATATGTGATATTGCTAAAGAAGGGTGTGATGTGGAGAATAAGAGAGAGATAGGGACAGAGAAGAAGGGGGTGATATGTGATATTGCTAAAGAAGGGTGTGATGTGGAGAATAAGAGAGAGATAGGGCCAGAGAAGAAGGGGGTGATATGTGATATGGCTAAAGAAGGGTGTGATGTGGAGAATAAGAGAGAGATAGGGACAGAGAAGAAGGGGGTGATATGGAAAAGGGAGTAATATGAGAAGAAAGGAGTGATACAGAGGAGAAGTGGGTCAAATGACTGGAGGAGAAGAGGGTGATGTGGTAGAGGAGAAGGCATGATATGGCTGGAGAAGAAGGAATGATATGGAGAAGAAGGGGTGATATGAGAAGAAGGGGTGATACGAGCAGAAGGGTGATATGACTGGAGAAGAAGGGGTGATATGAGAAGAAGGGGTGATACGAGCAGAAGGGTGATATGACTGGAGAAGAATGGGTGACATGGAGAAGAAGGCATGATACGGAAAAGAAGGGGTGATATTAGAAGTAGGGCTGGTGTGTGAAGTAATGCGGTAGACTTTGGCATGAGGACGAACTGATCATACAATACACACTGGCATCATTCTCACGTCGGTCTACTTCATCATAAACATCCATGGCTAGTTCTTCAAATAAATGATTCGGCAGCTGAAACAGAAAATAACATTTATCAAAATAATGTATTAAATTTGCAAAATGATATTTCAATGCCAACATAAAAATACCAGCATTCATGTTTTTTTTGGTTTCAAAATACTAATTAATAACAGAATTACAAACAATTGTCTCATTTTATCATAACGTGTTATGTCAACACGATAAAAAAAACTTTCAAAATATTTTTGTAAACTGTTCATGACTTCATGTCCTAAGCTTCAACATTTGTCAAGGGAGCAATAATTTGGCAGTCAAGACACAATCTGATATCAGACATTGAAATAGTAGGTTATTCCTAATATTGTTAACAACAGTTTTATAGTGTTACAAATACTTACTGCTTGTAATTTCTTTTTGGCTTGTTTAGCAAGTTCTGACAAGTCAGAGCTTCTGTAAAAAACAATGATAATAAACTAAATACATTGAGACCCTTGGTTTGTATCGTTCATAACAACTACTAACAACTACTAACTTGTACATGTTCCTGTTTTCCATAATCATGCTATATTCTTGAAACATTCTTAACTGTTTAATTTTCACATTAATATTACAGTTACCTCACTGTTCTATGGTGATTTACACTATAAAAAAACAAGAAATTCAATCAATACTTACGTATCTCCCATTTCTGGGATAATAAAATGAAGATTTGTTCTATGATCTGAAACAGAATCAGAAATACATTTTATCAACAATGAAAAAGTAAAGATTACACTGTTTTTTTACAGTGCATATTTTTCTATAGAGTTTAAGTCTTCATATCAGTGTCTACTTTTGTTTCTTGCTGTAGTTGTTTAAAATGGCCCTCTGCAATATTCCCGCTACATGGCAGTCTGCTCTAAGTTTGTTTGTTTGCACTCAGCAATATTCCTGCCATATGACGGCGGTCTGAAAATAATCGAGTCTGAACCAGACAATCCAGTGATTGACAGCATGAGCCTCGTTCCACGCAACTGGAATACAATGACATGCATCAACCAAGTCAGCGAGCCTTACCACCCTATCCCATTAGTCGCCTCTTACGACAAGCATAGTCACCTATTACGGCAAGAATGGGTTGCTGAAGACCTATTCTACCCTAGATCTTCACGGGTCCTGCTCCAAGTAAGCCAGTGGGTACAATGACATGCAGTCAACCAAGTCACTGAGTATGGCCATCCGATCATTTCAGCCACCTCGTACAAACACAAATTACCAAGGACCTATTCTAACACAGAATCAAACTGGTGCATAACTTCTAAGAAACTAGAAAATAACTTACTACTCAAATCTTAATATGTCACATCAATGTTACTCTAAGCTAATTTCAACAAGCATGAAATACTCACATCCCCCACCAATATGACATGTCGGGTGTGTGCAATGTATTAGCTCCTGTGAACTATGTTCACTGGGCCTTTTTGTAAAGAAATATAGTACGTTTTTCAAGATCTGCTCTGTCTGGAAACGAGGACTACCGCCATTTTCAGTCTAAATCAAAGTCGTTGCCATGGAAACTCGAAAAACAATTTTTTTTAAAATCCCAAACTATCAAAAGGCACCAGTTCACCAATAGATCTATCTATGTGCCAAGTTTGGTGAAGAAACATGGTATGGTTTTCAAGATCTGCTCCGGAAACAAGAACTACTGCCATTTTCAGTCTAAATCAAAGTCGTTGCCATGGAAACTCGAAAAGAACTTTTTTTAAAAATCCCAAACTATCAAAAGGCACCAGTTCACCACTAGATCTATCTATGTGCCAAGTTTGGTGAAGAAATACGGTACGGTTTTCAAGATCTTCTCCGGAAACGAGGACTACCGCCATTTTCAGTTTAAATCAAAGTCGTTGCCATGGAAACTCGAAAAGAACTTTTTTTAAAATCTCAAACTACCAAAAGGCACCAGTTCACCACTAGATCTATCTATGTGCCAAGTTTGGTGAAGAAATATGGTATAGTTTTCAAGATCTGCTCCGGAAACAAGGACTACCGCCATTTTCAGACTAAATCAAAGTCGTTGCCATGGAAACTCAAAAACAAATTTTTTTTTAAATCCCAAACTATCAAAAGGCACCAGTTCACCACTAGATCTATCTATGTGCCAAGTTTGGTGAAGAAATATGGTACGGTTTTCAAGATCTGCTCCGGAAACGAAATGTGACGGACGGACGGCACCCATTCCTATATCCCCCTTCCACTTCGTGGCGGGGGATAATAACACAGTGATCCCTTGCTACAAAGCTACCTTTGGGGCCCAAATAATTGATGAGCGCTATAGATGATCAGCGGTTTAACAAAGGTCGAGTCGTAGGTGGTAGATGACCAACAAAACAGTATACATGCTCTGCCTACCTAACACGATCTACGTTGCACATTTCAGAAGTTATTTATGATTCATAGTGTAAAAATAGAATTGATCGAGTATTAATATGCGCTTTCAAAAAAACCAACACATAGCATCCCTTCAGGTGAATAAGCAGGTACATCTATAACAAACTTGGTCAATAAAAGTATGAAATTTGATATAAAACATCACTAGACATGATGATTTACCATATAAAATGTATTTCCTGCTCTCAAAGGCATTGTTTTATATGCAGAGATTAAGATTACCGTGTGTATTTTCTCATAAACTAAGCCGGTAATAGCAATCAGCTTTGCACACGTTTCCTCCCAATCTACCGGTGATACAGTTGAAAACGTACCCAATGATACAACTTTAAAGAAATCTGATGCAATGGTCGGAAGAAATTGTATTTGAAATTATTATTATGTCAGAAATAATATATTCCAATATCGTGTTATTTTAGTCGCAGCTTCCACCATATATACTTAAAATTATAAGAACCACAAGCGTAGCACTTTGGTACAGATATTTTTTGATGTATGGAATGATTTTGACCAGTCACCGTAGGGACTTCCCACGCTCTATGTATTTCGTTTGTGAAAACGTTATATTGACATTTAATAGTCAAACTGCCTCAAATATGACTTTTAGCAAGTCATGGTACGGCATTTATGATATGTGTATCCATTCTCTTGCAACTAAAGTTCGATTCAAGGCATCAATAGCGGAAATCTGACCGTAGTTGCTGTAAATAACGGTGAGTTGTGCGATCTACCGATCACTTCGCATACGATTTCGCCAAAATTATTGTAAACATAATTATAATTATTGAATGAAATTTTGAATATAATTAAAACAATATATTACAAAACATTAGTCCAGATAAACAATTAACATTTTTTTTTATTACCAGATGTTATAATTATATGATCAAATTGCGTACTTCAGTTCGGATTTGTTGACTGGTATTTCCAATGTTATGTGATCGTGGTGATCAACTGATAATGTTTTCTGAGATGGGGGAAAACATCGCGTCATTGGAAAACTTGAGTTTATTGAAAATGTTCGTAAATTTGGGGAGCCATGCCTTACCGCGCGCTATAACCCACTTAGCGCTATATTGAAGGGCGCAATAACGAGGGAACACTGTACATTCAAACCTCTAAGTCTTAATCACTTTGATGGCAACTGAACCTATATGAAGATATCAAGTGCTGATATTATACTAGAGGGTGGAAAAGGGAGTTGCCACATCAACAGAGTTACATCCCCGTTCAACAAGCTGAGTTCATGGAGTTCAAGGTTATAAGGTTTCAACAATCATATTGGCAACATAAAGAGTTGATGCACACAGTTTTCAAGAGCAAGTCGGCACAGACACATCCCATAATATATAAACACTGATATTCAATGTTGCAGAATGGTGTATAACATAAGATGTAAGATCAGATTATAATTTTGAGCTCACCTGGTTTCTTTCCACACACATAAAATGCTAATCTATCCGTCAGTTCATACTGAATCTCGACTAGTCTGTCAGCTAGGTCATTGTGACCTTCAGCTCTGAAATGGTAAACATAAACACATTAAGATGCAAACAATGTGAAATGTACTGTGTAACATGCAGGTAACCCTGGTAACAGGCAAGTGTTGACAAATCACATAAGTAACTCATGTTTACAGTTACATTGGTGTGACTGTGAATGCATGTTGAGTTCTGCCCCTGCAATATTCCAGCTACATCACAGAGGCCTGACTTTGTTTAAAATTCTTTAATTCTCACAACAATACAGTCTTCCATGACAGCCCTCTCAGAGCTTGAATGGAATCAGTGTTTTAGAGGAAGACTTTCTTCTCCTTACCTGGCGTAATCAATGGGTGTCTTTCCCCCCAGGTCCAGGGCCCCGGGATCAGCTCCATACACCACAAGTAGCTCCACCTGGGAGGCCTGGTTCGCCTGGGCTGCTATGTGAAGGGGACAATTACCCTTCTCCTGGAAAAACAGCAGCTTCAACTTAGTGTTGTTTACATGACGCTTGTTTGTGTGATGTAACATGGTAATTACACAACAGACAGAGGGACTGACTGACTCATTCATGAAGACAACAGGTTCCTATTCAACTTGATTAAACTATATGGAATCCAAGTATGAAACCTAGAGAGTGAATGCTGCAGTATTCCTGCTGTGTCACGGCAAGTCCATGCAAACCTCAACACACAATCCTCATCCTGGTTAGCTCTGACCACAAGTACAGTCTGTGTCGGAATGTTGGAATTTAATAATCTGCACTAGCCCTTCTTAGAGTGAGTGTTAGTTAGTGTTAAATACTCTTATTTACAACAACATTTGTATCAGGTCATTGTTAAACTGACTGTAAAAGTCCAGTTTCCACCCTTGCCGAACTACGCTGGAATTTCTGGGCTCGATCAGAATGATTTATGTCCCTTCTATGTCCCTCCTGTTTACCAATCAAGATTCCATCCCTCATATCACTTGAAATTGCTTCAAACAAAATGCCCAGTCAAGACAATCTGACTGAAAATCAAAATCTATATTGTGATAAAACTGGCCTTACTATGCAAGTGCATCAAATCACATGACCACCTTGATCATAAACATGAAAAGATTTGGAAAATATCTGTTGACACCAAGTTGACGGTACACATGCTTTGCAAATATCCTGCAATCGAAATCCTCAACGAAATTTTATGAACATGTAGTCCAGCCAACATGTAACTCTATAATTCAAGCCTAGTTTTGAAAGGGTGGAAAATGGACTTCAATAGCCACCTATCTCCCTTGCTTCGGGAAGATGATACTAATATGGCAGATGGTATCTGGTATTCTGTATTGTAAGTTTTGTAACCAAGACAAAGACTTTTGAATGCTATATGAGATAATGCCATTTGAGACCGTGTTTGTTGGTGGTGTATAGCCTATGTTGAGTTGCTGGTGTGCCTGCTCTCAATCGATCTTCAGTCGTAAATAAATAGTCAACCCAATCCCCAATGAGTACCATAGCATCATCATCAGTTGGGATGTTGGATGCGAACCCATGACCCTTCGAGCTGGACAAACTAAGGGACACTACTCTGCACAGCGAATTGCTGCGCCTTAAACCAGCTGTGCGCCTTCAGATGGTTTTGAAATAGAGCTGTCAGGTACGTACCAAATGAAAATAGTTGGGATCTGCTCCTTTAGATAACAGTCTGAGACACGTCTCCACATTATTTGTTCGAACACTCGAATGCAACTCCTGAAAATGTAAAAAAACTCTGAGAATCAAATAAAGATGAACCATGTCAACTCTCTGGCAGGTTCTATTTCTCACAAGCCTCATACTTTCAATGAATGACTTTCAATTTTTTATAAAAACATTCCAATCACCAATAAACAAAAGAGCACAAATCATGTAGGTCAGGTTTTCACTGTGGTATTCAATAGCCATTTTAGCAGGGTTCTTTCTTGACTCATGGAAGAAAATAACATGCAGACGTTAAGTTAGCCTGGTGCTTGATGTTTATTGAAACACCAAAAACCAAAATGGAAAACTAGCAGGGAATTATTTCCCTTGAAACAATAATTATCTCCCTTTCGTCAAACAGGCTTGTTACACTTTTCAAGGAAATTCATAAAGAATTTTTTTTTAAAAATGAACAGATTATTGACAGACTTTTTTTTCATCTTGAAAACGTTAGTCAGGTGTGCTCATTGACACATTGTGTTGTATTGTATGTACATGTTGTAGCACAACGGAAGACGTCTGCCTCAGAACAGCCATTACCAGCATGTGTCACTGCCTAAAGAAAACCTTACCTTGCTGACATCATCTATGGAGCTGATGTCGCTGTCTTTATGCTTGTTAACAAATGACAAGAACTGGTATTTGGCACGAATGAAGTCAGATTTGTTTGGGCTGCAATTAAAACAAACGAATTCATTAGCACCTGGAATCCACATTCACAAGAAGAAATTCTCAAAAGAAGCAGGCCATCACATAGAGATGGGGGATCAAACAAGGGGAACATTTGTAACGGTCTTATTATAATGATCGAATAGGGAAACATTTGTAACAGTCTTATTATAATGATCGAATAGGGAAACATTTGTAACGGTCTTATTATAATGATCGAACAAGGGGAACATTTGTAACTGGTCTTATTATAATGATCGAACAAGGGGAACATTTGTAACGGTCTTATTATAATGATCGAACAAGGGGAACATTTGTAACGGTCTTATCATAATGATCGCACAGGGAAACATTTGTAACTGGTCTTATTATAATGATTGAATAGGGAACAACTTGTAACTGATCTCAATATAATGATTTAATAGGGGATAGAATTGTAACTGACTTTAATGTAATGGCTCTCCGAAATCTAAAGGGAAAGATTTGCAACTGATCTTACTGTAATGGTTCTCGGGGGTTAGGTTTCCGACGGCCATGTTTGTTCTGTGATGGGTCCAACAGTGCATGTTCCCATATATTGTTGGCTCCCTGCTTTGCAAGCTGATACACCATCTGGGGAAAAGCAATGATTGATCGTAATTGAGCAAATTATGTCAATGCTGTCAAGTAAATATTAAAGTCATGGGGTAGAAATTAGCTCTAGCTGGCTAGTCTGGGCCAGTTTTGTAAGTGTTGAAGGTATCCTTAGGGCTTATATAATTGCAATTATTTTCAGGCTATTGCTATATGCAGTAGAGTGGAGGTAAATATACTGTGTATTCAATATTGAGCTAGGTAACTTGCCGATTAAATTTGAAGCAAACAAGTTCAAAATTAAATTCTACAAGTTCTAAGCCAATACCAGGTATTTCATGTGAAGCATTTCTGCTGATTCGTTGAAAACAATTCTGTTGTGGTTCCAAATACATTCAGTTGTAGTATGGGGTGAGCAGACTTCTTGTTCTTCCCTTTCTTTCTTTGAGGTAAGGTGAAATGGGGTTTAACGTTGCGTCCAAGATTATTCCACTTATATAGCGACTTGCCTGCACATGCGTGTGCAGCTGTTTGTACTAGTCGGGACTGACGCAGTTTTATAGTGCTAGCACACTGAGATACCATGACGCAGTTTAACATGAATACCCTACTCAGACACAGTATACTGACTCCGAGCCGACCAGTCCTTGTTTTAGCCCCTTAATGCCGAGCACCAGACAGGGTAACAATAAGTACCATCTTTTAACGTCTTTTGGTATGATGCAGCCGGGGATCAAACACCGGTCCTTCCGCTCTCCTGACAGAACTGCTCTACCACTAGACCACAGAGACAGTCTTCTTTCTTTAAGAACTATCGTGAAGATATTTCCTTATGTACTCTTTGTGGGAGACGGAACCGGATTCTTGCATCGTGATGAGCAAACATTTTTTATATCACTAGGCTACCACACTGCTCCTATGAATATGATGAATAACAATTATCAATACCATTTGGCCCCAACTGCACACAAGTGTCTCCTAATTCTTACAATGTAAGGGTGTAACATGGATAAAGTTTAAAACATCTGGTGAAATGACATGCCTATGATTTCAACATGTTCAATAAAAACCTACCAACCCAACAAGGAAGCAGTACACTCATGTATTATGTGGGCTATATGTATCTTGTATGAACATCAACTGTATTAATTATAAGCAACACATGGAAACTCCTTAAGTGTGGACATTAATTTCTTCCTGGTTTTATCTTTCTGTACAAAGATTACTCTCATTATTTTATTCCAGCATATGAAAAATTAAAAATGTTCAATTTTTTGTAATTATGTTAAACAATGTTAAAGTTGTGAAGGTTAATTGGTGGTTTATTTTCTATATAGGACACTCAAAATATTTTTTGCTAAAAATACAACCAGACAGATTTTTAAATAATGCATGTTTTCAATCAAACACTGATTCATTTATTTTTAAAGTTCAACATTCAGCATTTAGTTTAGGGTCAACATGATCAGCTCGTTCATGAATCATAGCAATAATGGGTAGGCCCTTATAAGGAAAACTTGGTGACTATGGTAACTAGTAAACATGAAAATGTGCTTCATGATTTCACATTTGAGAATAAAACTAAGAGCTGACATTAGGGATTGGTCCACTCACCACACTTAACATAACGTAAGTAAACGACACAAGTCAGGGTGTATAAATATGTCAACTCCTGACGAGAGGGCCCCGCCCTACATGCACTTGTAATTCTATCAGGTTTAAGTTACATGAACACATTGGTCGTAAAGCAATCACATGTTCTAGGATCAGATCCCTGTAAATTATAACATTGAAACTGAAACACAAACAAAAGAGCAGTTAACATGTTTCCTTGCAATATTTCTATATCACTTACATATGCTTTTATTACTAATATAAGGATTCTTATTATGTTTGTTTGGGTTGTGAAATGGTGAAATGGTCAAAAACAATAAAATTGAAATGCTCTGAAAACTCATTTGACGAACAAATTTTCGCTCTCATTTATTATCTGGGATCGTGATAACTCTCATGCAATTATTACTGATTATTACATGAAAACAGCCTGGAAATCACTGTATTCTTTATGTCATTTACATGTCAGAGTTAGTCAGACACACAATACATGCACAGGGTTCTTTCTTCAGGGATTAATCATGAACTGGACTTCCGTCTGAATAGAACATGTTAAATCTGAATGTAGTCATCAAATCAGAACAAGAACAGTGCATTATAATTTTCTAATTAAAAAAGACAAATACATTAATTCATTTCAGCACAACTGCCTTGAAACATCAAAAACCCAAAAGAGTCAAAATGTGGAACAAATTAAAAGAAACACAGAAATTAATGATCCATTTTTTCTTCAGATTAGCTTTGAAGGCTTAAAATCAAATTTGAAATTGACATGTGGAAATTGAAATTGACAACTGAAACATGAAATGGACATCCTTACAGCATGTTGTGTTGGGCTCCACTGCCCCTTCTTGAGAGACTTGACTTGTGAAATGTGACGTCCCAGGCTGCGATGTACGCTACAGCACTCATCACATATCAACACTCCCCGATTGATTGACGCCCACACAGGATCTGAAAAATATTGCCACAAAACTTTATTACTGTAGTTATGAGGTTTCACATTGAATCATCATACTCTATACTAAGGCTGGGACGGGTAACTCGGTGACACGGGTGGGTCCTGAGAACATGGAGAAGGACCCAGGTACCCACCAGACTAGGTTTATAATTATAAAGGAATTTATTATGATTTTAAGTCATTCTGAATTGTAATGTTGTAAATCCTATATATCATTTTGGCAGACTATTTCCAACATGCAGCAGGTCAGCCCTGAGTGGAGAGTGAGTGAGTTGGGTTTAACGCCATGTCAGTTTCATATCAAGGCGCCAGAATGTGGGTCTTAGACTTATACTAATTTGGGTCAGATGGGTCCTGAAGAGGACCCGGGTACTCACCAGACTACCCAGACCTGTGGTTAGTTACATGATATATTATTTAATGACAAAAACAATGAAACTTCATAGTTAAACTACAAATGGCTAATGTTTGCATTTCTCTCTGACTATGCACACATTCCTTCTGACTTTAATATTTTTGAGTAAAGATGAAGCTTCAGTCAACCTCAGTGTATGCATGATTTTATACGTGTATGAAAATAGTTTTTGCCAGGACTCCAGGAGAGTTCCCTATCAGACATTTTGTGCCCAACTCTTGAGGCCTACAACAGAACGGGATACCTGGATAGGGTTGGGGGGTCAGTTACCCAGGTAGTAAATTTGAACTCGTCCCAGCCCTACCCTATACAGCAGACAGGAAGCTTATGCCCTGGCTAGTTCCCTTAATAACAATATCAGCATGATTAGGTAGATATCAAATCTACACACTGAGCTAGGACTTGCAAAATGTGGCCAAACTTATCACTATCCATAGTATTAAGTACTGATGAACATGATAAAATATTACTTCAATGAGGACACGACTTATAAGCCTTCAGCGGGGACCTATTACAGGCACAATGATGGAGATGAATGATAAGGGTTGTCATAGTTGCCTAAGTGAATGAACAGGACCAGACAGCCAGCCAGTGGTCGATAGTGTGAGCAACATGCCATGCCATCAGGGCACAGTGACCGCTAGACCACCGATCATCTCTCATCACTTTAAATGACATGTATGAGGTACTAGAGACCACTCTGAACTGGACCTTAGAGATACTTCAGTGTTAGAAACGAGGGATGTTAGGACTGTCAACCTGGACCTTCCAGTGTTTCATATCCATTCTATTATCATAAATATTAGGGCTGGGACGGGTTACTTGGGTGCCCCGGTCGGGTGGGTACTGAGTAGGACCCAAATACCCACAGGACTACCCGGACCTGTGGTTAGTCACGTGATATATTGTTTAATGACAAAGAGTATCTAAAACTCTATGTTTAAACTACAAGTCACTAATGTTCGCAGTTCTTCCTGACTACTAAACCCATTCCTTCTGACTTTTATAGGTTTGAGCCAGACATACACAGAACACAAACATTGTGTCGTAAAGCGACTCAGGCATACATCACTACAGATCTGTTAACATGCTTGGTCCTGTGGTACTTGTTGGCAGAAACATTTTAACATTTGGAACATAAACATAATTAAGGTGCTCAAACAATTTGATGCACTTTGAGAGGTAAGATCCGTTTTATCACAATAAAGATCTTGATTATTAATCAGATCATCATGACTTGGCGCCACCATTTTGTTTGAAGCAAATGCAGGTGATATAAGAGGTGGATTCTGACATAGTCAATAGGAGGGACAGAAAGGAAACGACTCATAATAGCCACTGATGGCGCTTCAATCGAGGCATGAAATTCCAGCCAAGGGTGGAAACTGGACTTCTGTAGTTAATTAACTCTCTTGCCTTGGGAAGAGGAAGGATGTGCATGATCATGATGAAAAGGAAGGTTTAAAATTATAATAGAATCTATGCTTTATTTATCAATCTAAATTGTAACAATGTGATGACTGAGTGAACTGCACCGCTTTGAACAGTGTGTCAGATATATCCTCCAGCCTGAAGTAGTGACCACATGGTGACACAGAGAACAGCTGATATACAATAAGGACTAGTGATGGGAACCACAGCTACATGTACACACAACAGCAGTGCAACATGTGCAACACTGACCACTTGTGTTCTTGTTTTATGTGAAACAGGAAACAGCAATAACTCAAAAATAAATATTTCCTCCTTTGAATAACATATGCCTGGTTATGAAAGTCTTCAATGTTCAGAAAGCTCATCATCATGATCATAATACGGATTTCTTTCATCTAATGTTTCAGTGTTTAGGAAATATTTACCTTTCAGTTTCTTTGGAAACAGGAAATTATGCTTAACATGACCTACACATAATGCGTGACGAGCAAACACTTTAACACTAGGCTACCCGACCGCACCTCCCCAGTAAAAGAAGTTAGAATATTGGCGAAAAAGTCAAACTGGCCATTGAAAGAGTAAAAATGATCATTGAGTGACTTTTATTTGTCTTTTTTCACCATGTCAGCGGTAGAAACTAACATTTTTAGTCCACTAGTCCTATTAATGTTAATATATATATAGCAAAACCCTTCAAAATGGCATTCGAATCCCGGTTCGCCCTGATTATGTTTCTAGGTTTGTCAGTACCATACCCGTGCTCGTGGGTTTCACCGAAGTGGTAAACGTCTGAGACCTGCATCACTTCGGGCTTTCCTCCCACATTAAGCTGACACGCCGCGATATAACTGGAATACTGTTAAAAGGGGCGTTAAACCCAACTCACTCACTCACTTAAAAATGGCAAATTTGCACTAGTCTTATGATACCTTAACTATTAGGCAGATTGGCAAGGACTACAGGACTAGTGCCAATTTCTAACGCTGCATGTTCACTACTACTGAAGAAAACAAAACAGTGAAGGAAACATATTTTCTTTAACATGTTTACAGTGTGACACAGGCACTCATAAAGATGTTTAGGTGTGCCAACATGAACTATAGTCTTGCTCCATCTTCAGCCTTTGTTAAATGTCATTTCACCACAGGCTTGAAATAGTTGTCCACTTCCTTTTCACTAATAAGGATTATTTTGTAAATCATACTGTCCATTAAATAATTCATTTCACATGTCATTTTTTTATTTCTAATGTGTCCTTTAGGCACCAGGAACTAATTCTAACCATGCCATTAAGATTTTAACCATGCCATTGTCACTGTATTTCAAACATTAAAAGCGGATTGTTTAGACTGCTGTTTATCTAGACCTGACCTAGATACACTCGTAAAGTTGTATGTTTTTTTTTAATCCTCACATGATTAAACATGTTCATGTTTTTAAACTTGTTTTTGTTTGATGTACATGATATTTAATGCTGTATCTTTGCCAACTGACAATTTGTCTGTGATCCTCTGCCTAACCATGTCCACACTGGCAACATAACGCATTGAATAAATGCCTGCCTTACATTAACATTTGGTCTGCATGCTACACATGACATTTTGAAGAGTGAAAATACCGGGTACCATCAATCCTACCAATTACTGTCTGTAAAAATCCACCTTCCTCGAGTAGAGACCTTCCGAAATAAATAACCTCTGGGCATTTATTCAAGTTTTTACGGTAACTCAAAACATGCTGTTGAAGGTCTCCCGATATGACAGCGTGAACAGAACATCCCAACAGCAGACACCCTTTAGCATTGTATGTGTTGATCATCTTTCACAGACAAGATATTCACTAAACAGTGTCCTATAGATTATATTATATGTCATAAGAAGCAGAAAAATGGAAAGATATCATTTCTAGAATTATGCTTATGACAGCTTATGAGCCAGAAAACATGACGTTATGTCGAATGTCCTAAAAAAACTTGAGCAACTTCCATGACTCTGTGCCTTATACTGAAAGTAATAACATTTGCTGAGGAAGAATCTCTACTTGTTCAAGTTTTCAATCAAAATACATTTCAATCAAAGTAATAGGGTGTGCTGATACTGCTAATAAATATAAATGGTTTGGGAAATGGGGAGTATAAATATTTCCTTGATATTCTTTAAAATGCACTCTAACACCCAAATGTCCGACAGAGCAAAATCATTATCGGACTCAGAAGCATGAAAACTGGACACTGCCCTGCTAACATGGATAAGTTGCTGTATTCCATCATCAATGGCAGTGTTCGGAACTAAAGTGGTTCCCTGGGTCCTTGAGGTTTTCTACAATAGTATTTGAATCAGACCCCTTACATCTTTCATTTTTAACATTATGGTTATGACAAAAACCAAACTTCAGAAATGTTTATCTTTGATCGTCTTGATACAAGTCTACCATATTTTCCCCAAGCCATTGACTGTGGTCCCCCGAGTCTCTGAGTATGATAAAACAACATATAATCATAAAAGAAAACATGTTGATCAAATGAAGCATCATGCATGAAAATGAAATTCTTGATCACATTTTTATTCATGTTAAAAGATATGAGAAAAATGTGAACTTTCAAAAATTGGTTTTACTGGACCAACCATGCTTACGACATTAAAGTAACATCTGAGAATGTACAGGTTGATTTACCTAGTAAACACCACAAACATATGAAACTAAAACTGTTCAACAAAAAATATAGGTGAAAGGTATATGCTGAAGCTGGAGAAGTCATCATCCCAATCCCAACAACACAAACTATATACAAAAGTTCCTTTACTTTGAGACAAATACTATCTGATAGTATCTATCAAATCTGGCAATCCCTGCTCTAACAAGCTACAGCTGAAATATATAAAGGTCAAGCCAATAAAACACACAAACAATGCACCAATTCCATATGCGTATCTTGTATGGCTCAAAGAGGAACATGGTTTAGACTTGAACTGAAAGTTCCAAATGAGAGATGAATCGGTGAACGAGTATGGCTAATCTTACTTATCTGATAAGGCTGCTGCAAAGGCATTTTAATAACATTTCTGTATGTTGGGTATTACCTGATGCACCGCAATCGGCACAGGCGGTAGAATACATGGTTCCTCTCGACATGACGACGGTCTGGGAGACACGCAAGCGGTGCCGAGTGAAATTTGAGATGTACGTACGACCCGACCCCCAGGAAATGGGGAGATGTCAAGAGTTCAACAGAGAGCTTCTGTCAGATTCTTTCAGAAGACTTGCACAAAAATGCCATCACAACCTGTGTATGGCAATTCCAGCGATTAAGATTGCACAGTTATGAACACAAAATCATTGTCAGCTTATTCTTAGCAAAACTGTAGCTTCATACGGTGTTGATTTTGTCCAATTCGTCCCAATTGCTTGTGTTATCATTCCAAATTTACATCGAAGGCAGGACTAGGCCTAGACTGAGTCATCAATGAATCTACTTGTCGTAAAAACATAATTCCTTTAAGATGTCATTTTGATACCATTCCTTTTATATTTTACTATAGTGTTTATCGCCACACGTTCTCTACTATTTATGTCGATTATCAGGGTTAAAATAACGTAAAAGTGTATGTCTTTTTTACGACTACCGTAAAGTAGGTCACTTCCGAAATTGCAAATGAGTCAGAATGAAGTAGAATGCATTTCCTAGTTTTGGGTGTCGGCGAGCGTAATGATCTGTCAAAATACATCTGACTGAAGCATGACTTCTAAGACATTAGCTGAAGAGTTCCCCATTCACTGGCTTGTATGGCACAATGATTATGAAAACCTCGATCGCGAGCTAGCAAAGAAAACGGTTAGTAATTAGGACGAGGCCTAGATGGCGTGTGAAAAAATTATCATGATGAACAGCGTTGACTGTTGTTGATAAAGATTTTGTAATTTTAGTTATTTCCTCATAGTAGTTTATTGCAATGTAAGTGACTGGTAAACATCCTTGAAACGGATATTTAATGTGTTAATTTATTCTTCTCTGCTATTGACTACCTGTAGGTTATAGCCTGTCTATTGTGTGTATAAATAGACATGATAGAAAGGGAAAAAAGGGAAATGTTATTTTATCATGAGTCTTATCGATGTCAACAAAAATGTGTTCCTCAAGATGTGTCCGTAAAAAGTTATTGACAACTGTATTCACTCGCAATTCTTCTGCTACTTCACTCTCATGCTTCTTTGATGCTCCCCCCCAAAACATGTTTAGAAACGGCAAGTGTTCAAAATTCCTTGAATGAGGTACAGATTCTTCTATTTTGGTGCATACAACTAGTGTTTGGTGTATGATTGTTTAAAAATTATTCACAAACATTATGAGTAAATGTTTGTTTTCACTTCATGCTTGGTTTGGTGTACAATTTGTGTAAACATGGTAGATTCTAAGCATAGTAAATGATAAATATTTCTTTTCAGCATGATAAGGAGTTGTTGGACCCAAGGGGTAGAGCTCCTCTGCAGCTAGCAGTGACCCTAGGGCACATTGAAAGTGCTCGTGTTTTGCTGAGGCATGGAGCTGACGCCAATTCTGAAAACCTGAAATATTGGTCAGGTAAGATAACTAAAACATTTAAAAACAGAGCAGTGATCCTGGACTGAGTTAACCATGTTAACATGTGTCTGTTGACTCACACTATTTGTCAGTACTACATTGACTTTCATTTTATTTTAACCACTGACTCTCAGCTTTTGAAAAAGAAATCTGTGACCCAAGTCATGAAAAACAATGAAATCATGTCATCATTAAATTTTCAATTTTGATAAAGACAAAAAAAAATTGATAGCTACCAGATCTCTAAACAAGAAAAAGGTCTGTAGAACTGAATGTGTATATTAGTTATTGGGCATAGTATTACAGTAGTTAGAATGAGTTGAAATCTAGGCATCAATAGCTTAATCCCATGCAGTGTGCGAGCTTAGCCTCAATTTTGTAATTGATATCTTTTCCCGTAAAAACCAAGCCTCGTTCTCAAGTGCGACCTACAAACAGTAAATACAATTTGCTAGCAGATGACATATTCACTCTATAGTCTCTGTCAACTGGAGTTTTTAAACAGAGGTTTCTACTGAAACAACTTTTTTGTACTTTTATTAGCTTTCCATGTTACAAAATATATTCACTGGATATTAATGCTTTTCACCTGGATAATAAGGTTTATTCATTTCATGATGAGGATCATCTTTTTTTAAATTGTCCCAACTGTATGCATACCTGACAAGGACGACATTGGCTACCATTATGTTACGATGTCTTACATTTTTCTCAGGAGGAATGCCATTATTTTTTCTTTTGTTTCTATTTTTTCTGACTTGTTGGATGGCATAAATGCACATATATTCACAAGATGCAAAATTCTACCAGCGTTTAAACTTCTATATAATATTAATGCATACACAAGCCTTATTGGTATAAATGTACTCTTGATATTTTCCACTTGAAAATTCATTAGTTATAGAGGTGCCAGAATTCCAATATGTTCATACCTTTCTTGACAAATCTCCAGTGGTGTCACTTGGAAGTCGCATCATGATAAATAGTTAGTAAGAGACTGGTATTCCAAGTGAGTTCCAAGAAAATAACAGTTGAAACACACAATTTAGCCATGACCGAGCATAAAAATGCAATAGCCAAGGTATAATCCAAAAGTAATCGTCCACCACAACAGTAAAAGAAGTATACTGCTACAGCAGACGATAGGTTTGAACCAATCATTTTACTGATAGAGGTCACGTGACTAAAATCTTGACAACTTCCGGTGGTGTGAAGGGTTACTTTCCCTAATTAAAACTAACAAACCAATACATATTTGAGATTTAAGTTCTGATTTATTTAAGTGCAAATGTCTGTTCAGTGTGATAACACTGACAAACTATGTCCAGACAGCTTAAGACAGAAAGAACCAAATGTCAAACACCACAACCTGTAAACCATCAGTTTAGACCCCTGACACACAAATTAGTCCCTCAATGACATATCAGTCAACTCAAATTTAAACAAACGGTGTTAAACTGCCCTAAAGTAACATATCTGTCACTAGAATGTGATGCTATCAGTATGTTTCTGGCCGCTCTGTGTGGGACTTCTTGGTCACTTCGAGGGGGAAACTGGGGACTGTCTTTTATCCAATTAAAAACATGTTTACATTTGTAGCTCCTCCTGTTTTAAGTTGGATATAGTAAGCTTAGTGATCAGTGATTGCAACAACTACAGTCCGTTTGAATCCAAATGAGAACGATGAATTGCAAAATAACTCGAAATCCAGAAAAGTGTATGAAACATCAATACGGTACTTGACCATGAATACCCTGTACCCAACAAAATCTGAATTTTGTTTATTTTAAGACCCATGACGGATGAAGTTCTTTAAGAAACTATCATGTAATTTTGTATAGAAATTTGTACATGACACATAGGGGGGACAAACCGTGGAAGGCACAGCGCAAGCACGCATGCACTGCACGTTCTGTGGTAGGGGAAATGACAGAGCGTTAGAGGGGCCATCTCATGATAATTTCAGTTGCAATCTGACTCGTTCATGCCATAGATCTCGTCGTCGGAACTGCTGGTCCCTGAACCGACTGCCACTATTGTAGGTTGGACTGTTGCTGGCCGTAGTCCATCTCGTGACCAATAATGTGGCTCTATCTCATCAACGACTGTGGCCACACAACGCCTCCATGTTTCTACTGTTACCAGACCAAGGGATTCCTTTACGAGTTGTTCAACGTCTCGTAATTTGAACGTTGTGTTCGATCGTCCAACGTCACCCTTGACGATACCCCATACCAACTCGATTGGATTCAGGTCGCAGAGATAAGGTGGCAGTCGTAAGACAGCGTGACCCTGAGCCTTGATGTAATTGTCAACTTTATACACGGGGTCAGGTTTCATAGTTTTGATGATTTCATAGAGCTGTGGTTTCGTTGCTCGAGAAGGAAAGGTAATGTTCCTCCGTTCCAGCCAAGTAACCACGTCTCCTTTACGGTTATTGGAGGTTGGAGTCTTGCTTTCTGGATCCTGCACACTATGATACGGTGCATTGTCCATGACAATGAGAGACTTGGTAGGCAAAGCAGGGACTAATTTATCTTTCACCCACTCCAGAAATACATTGCCGTTCATTTCTGTGTGGTAGTCCCTGTTGTCTTTGGCCTTGGCTCTAAAGACGAGGTCACAGTCTGGGAGAAAACCCTGACTAGCAGAACCAGCATGGAGAACTATGAGTCTTTCACCCTTTCCCATTGGTAACTTTCTACCAGACTCCTTACAGTCACCACTGGGTACCCACTGACTGCTGGCTGTGTGGGGCGCATTTACCCATGTCTCATCTAAGAAGACGGCTCATATCCTTCTTCACGTTTCTGCTTGATGGTACGAAGATAATGATTTCGGAGACGAACAATGTCAGACCGTTCACACAACACAGCCCTATTTTCTCCAGTTATCTTTTTGTATTTGTAACTAAATGTATGCAACAGCTGCCATAGTTTGTACTTTGTAACACGTAAATCATGGTCAGTTTCAAGGTGTTTCTTCAAAATTCTTAGGGACAGATACTTATTTTCTGAGTGCAGTTTAACAATTGCACGTCTGACTTGATCCCTCTGCAAACTGTCTAATTTATCAACCTTGCGTGGTTTTGACATGTTCCCTACCCCCTTAACCTGACTGTTTGTATCTCATCGACTAACAACATTTTAAAGTTTCTGAGGGGACATACCAAGTGCTTTTGAAGCTCGTTTCAGGAATTTATTAATTGCATAAAAAGGCTTTGCTCTTTCTGCTTCACTTCTAAAGAAATCATACACATTCAACATCAACTGTTTAACATCTGCTGAGTAGCGCATCTTGTCATTGAATGAACACAGTCACTGTGTAGTTCGTGCAGACCGTGCTTGCGCTGTTCCTTCCATGGTTTGTCCCCCTACGTGTCATGTACACATTTCTATACAAAATTACATGATAGTTTCTTAAAGAACTTCATCGGTCATGGGTCTTAAAATAAACAAAATTCATTTTTTGTTTGGTACAGGGTATTCATGGTCAAGTACCGTATTGATGTTTCATACACTTTTCTGGATTTCGAGTTATTTTGCAATTCATCGTTCTCATTTGGATTCAAACGGACTGTAGTTGTTGAGCATGTCGGTTATCCTAAGGTCGTATTATCTTATTGTATTTTGGTATTTGGGCCAGTTATCATGGTTATGACTTTTTTCATCCATTTCAATTTGTAAAAACAGAAGCAGAGCTCTAGATAAGCTTATAGTTATTTGAATATTTTACCCAGGGATTTCATTTTGATTGGCATCCACACTTTTAACTTTTTTACGTATTTTAACTTGAAATTCTGTTTTGTGTCAATCCCTGTAAAACATTTAAGACTAAAAGAAAGTTGTAAACCTGTCTATGTTTGCTTGCTGCTCCCTCCCAGGGAAACCTTTTTTATTGTCTAATCCTAGCATTGAAAGAAAGGCATTATTTTTTAAATCACAAATCAGCGATTGTTGACAGGTTAAGATGCATTCGCAGAGTTGCATCCTTTGGTCACCCCAGACACCTATGGTTGTGGGTCGAATCCCAGTTCGCTCCAGTTTTGTTTCTAGGTTTGTCAGCACCATACCTGTGCTTGTTGGTTTCACCAAAGTGGTAAACGCCTGAGACCTGATTGACTTCAGGCTTTCCTCCAATCTCATTAAAATCAGATCTTAGTGCTCGCTACCGCTAAACAAAGATCTGAGGACATCCCATTACGGGTCACGTCAGACCGACCTTACGTGAACTTTGACCGACCAATGGAATGACCAATCAGAAGGCAGCTTTCTCGTGCTTTACGGCACACATTTCAAATTGGCGACTACGCTTTGAAACATATTTTGACAAATTCTCGATTACAAATTTGAAACCTGAACAAAAAAACATTCTGGAATGGCTAATAGATGGTCTACATTGTAAGGATTCAGTCGTTAAACCCGTAACTATCGTTTGGAATACCCAATGTTAAAAGTTTACGAGATTGCATGATTAGAAATCACATTCCGACTGTCACTTTTATAATCTGGTAAGTGACGCACTGATGGGTCGGATGAAAGGTCGTTCTGACGTGACCCCTTATGGGATTTCTCAGATCTTTGTTCAGCGGTAGCAAGAACTAAGGTCTGATTTTAATGAGATTGGCTTTCCTCCCACATTAAGCTGTCACGCTGCGATATCACTGTAAAAGCGGCATTAAACCCAACTCACTCACTCCAAATGTATCTGTTGGAAAGTGAATTTCGCTATCGGCTGATACACAATCATTTTATGTAACAGTTATAATATACGCAGTTGTTTTATCTGATATACAAAGGTATATTTCAATAGTGTATTTGGGATTTGATTTGTCTGCATATTTCATCATATTTAATGCATATTTTATGCAAATACGTAGCTTTTCTCAAGCCCTCAGTTGTGCACTTATTGCGCTGACCTAATGATGATAATTACACTGAAAAGTAATGAAAGGATCACACTGATAGATTTCTTGGTTGACATGGTTGATGCATGTCGTCATAATCCCAATTGAATAGATCGATGCTCATGACGTCAATCCCTGGATTGTCTGTAGACTGTCAAAATCAGATCTTAGTTCTCGTTATCGCTAAACAAAGATCTGAGGACATGAAAGTGAGAGTCGGAATCTGTTTTCTATTCAGGCAATCTCGAAAACATTAAAACGGGGTATTCCGAACGACAGTTACGGCCTGTACGACTGATTCCGTCAAAATTATCGTCTATCTCTCGCTCTCGTGGGATAAACATTTGAACGGAGGAGACGTTGCACAGTAAGTTTGAAGCACTGCCATACAATCGCAACCATATATTAGACATTCCGGAATGTTCGTTTGTTTAGTTTTCAAAATTTTGATCGAGAACTGTGTCAACATATTTTTCAAGCGCAGTCAAAATGGAAGTCGTCAGGTTGAAACGAGTACCGTAAAGCTCTTGTCGTTTCAGTGGTCGGTTCAGGTTTGATTTCGTTATGTGATTTTGATTGAACTATGCATAGACACATTAGTCCAGCCAAAATATAGCTCCATAATTACAGTCTGTGGAAACAGGACTTTTATAGTCAGTAACTCCCTTGCCTCGGGAAGATGTTTTTCTGAGCAAGTGATAGAGAGAGAGATAGTACAAGAACAACATTATCTCTATCTTTAAGTGGTATTTCAGAACCTGTAGTATCAGTGAAGACCCGAGTACATTTCAACACATGCGCTAGCACCTTTATCAAGCAAGTGATCAACAGCTGGGTAGGACATGGTCATGCTGTTAAGAGTCACCTACACAGAGATTAACACAAACCACAAATAAATAAGGGTGGCAGAGTGAGGCCAGAGATGAATGCTGATAAGTGATGATCCGTCAGGCCGAAGCCTGTAACAACACGTATTGGATCGGCATTTGGAAGTCACACACAAATGAGAGAGAATCTATGTATGTCAATTTCTTTATTATGAGGGACTTAGTGTTTCGAAGTATATGCATGCTGTTTCAGCAGGTAAAGAATGCTAGGATGCAGAGAGTATATATATATGTATCTGTGAAACAACAAAGGTGGAAACGTAACAGTTAATTACCGGTAGCACTGATTAGTAATAAGCAATGGACAAATGGAAAGGCAGGGGTTAATAAGCCTTGATTGGGGGATAATGTGACAGATAGGTGATGACACAGATTCATTCAATCAATAAGTATCAAGCACTAGGCAGATATGTTCCCTGGTCCCAGTTCATGGCTGGCTGGTGTCTCCTGATGTCAATGGCTTCTTGTAGTTTCCCTTGACACCAGATTTTGATGGTGGACAGGACTTTGTTGGTTTCCCACACGATGGTGTGGTCTTGGTTCTTCAGGATGGTTATATTATGACCAGTTCAAAGGTTGTATGTTATGTTTGTCCTGACTGAATGAGGTGACCCATGAAGATCCGGGGTAAAATAGGTCTTAAAGTAACCCATTCTTGCCGTAAAAGGCGACTTTGCTTGTCGTAAGAGTAGACTAACGGGATCGGGTGGTCAAACTCGCTGACTTGGTTGATGCATGTCATTGATCCCAATTGGTTGGATCGAAGCTCATGATATTAATCACTGGATTGTCTGGTCCAGACTCAATTATTTACAGACCGCCGTCACATAGCTGGAATATTGCTGAGTGCGGGGCTAAACAACAAACCAACCAAACCAACTGAGTGAGGTACTAAATCTTTAAGGTATATACCTATATAAAATAAACACAATTTCCATTTCCTCCTGTGCTCTGACGCACGCTCTCATGAAGTTTCTAAATATAAGGCCGCCTCCGTGGTCTAGTGGTAGAGCGTCCGCCCAGAGAGCGAAAGGTTCGGGGTTCGAACCCTGTCCGTGTCATACCATGTCCGTGTTGTTACCCTGTCTGGCGCTCGGCATTAAGGGGCTAAAACAAGGATTGATCGGCTCGGAGTCAGTATACTGTGTCTGAGTGGGGTATTCATGTTAAACTGTGGCATAGTATCTCAGTGAGCTAGCACTATAATTTGGAATCAGTCTGGACTAGTACAAGCAGCCACACACACACGCACGCTATATAAGTGCAATAATCTTGGACGCAACTTTAAACCCAATTTCACCTCACCCACCTCTAAATATAAATTTTTAACGGAAAAATAACTTGGTAAACCAGTTACAATTCTTGCTGCTTCTAGTTGGAGTTTTTCTGATCTTTGGTAGAACCAACCCAAACTTCACATGCATATTCAAAATGTGGTCCATCTTCCCGAGGCAAGGGAGTTAACTGACTATTTTTAAAAAAATCCATTTTCCACCCTTGCCGAACTAGGCTGGAATTTCTGGGCTCGATCTTAGCGCCGCCAGTGGCTTTTACCAATCAGATTCTACCTCTCATATCACATGCATTTGCTTCAAACAAAATGGCGGCACCTATTCAACACGATCAGATATTTATAGTCCGTTAACTCCCTTGACTCGGGAAGATGAATGTGGTCGAATAAACTCTTCAAAATTAATACACTTCACCACACTAAGCTACGACTGAGCATAAACTTAAGGTTTCTCATTGAAAGAATCATCGTTGATGTAGTTTTAATGACTGAGTCACTATGTTATGATCACTTGGCCGATGACCACCCAGGTGTTCGTGAGTTTTATTTCAGTGTTTTCATGATCCAAAATTAATTTCAGAGTTCAATACAGCCCCCTTTTGGAAATTAGAATTGGTTTTGTTTTGCTGGGATTATAAGCTTCTGTTATCTGAACCACTATTGTCTGAACTGCTGTTGTCTTCATCCATGATCTAAGCCTGTTGCCTGAACTGCTGTTATGAAAACCTGTGTTGCCTGAACGGCTGCTATGACAACCTGTGTTGTGTGAACTGCCGTTATGAAAACCTGTGTTGTGTGAACTGCTGTTATGAAAACCTGTGTTGTGTGAACTGCTGTTATGAAAACCTGTGTTGTGTGAACCGCTGTCATGAAAACCTGTGTTGTGTGAACCGCTGCTAAGACAACCTGTGTTGTGTGAACCGCTGCTACGACAACCTGTGTTGTGTGAACTGCTGTTATGAAAACCTGTGTTGTGTGAACTGCTGCTATGACAACCTGTGTTGTGTGTTGTAGTTCTCCATGAGTCGGTGAGCACAGGAGACCCGGAGCTGGTCCAGATGGTGCTCCAACACAGGGACTACCAGAGGTACACCAAGAGGACTGTCGGTGTGCCCGAGCTGCTGCAGAAACTGAAGGAGGTAAGTTCCCTGTACTGGGGCATCCAATCAACACTACACTAGTTACATATGGAATGCTAAACAAGCTCCTGTGTATTCCAGTTTTATGAAATGGGAGAATAGAATACCAGAACCATTCACGAGTTTCATATAATTGGTATAACATGGTAGTGAGTTTAGTATTTTACTTATTACTTGATTATAAAAAAAACAATTAAATTTCCCATACAGCTGTATGTTTATTAAACGGGTGATCTCTTCAGGGGTGAGAAATAAAGTGGGCCACGGTATGAGGATTGGGTGGCAAAACGACTGTCTGGGACAAGCAGGAGGGGCCAATTGTAGGCTATAATTGATGCTCATGCCGTTGACCACTGGTTTGCTTAAATGTGTTCTAGCCACAACTGTTTACTTCCATGTTCCAAAATCATGTGAAGTACTACTTGTTCCAAAAGGGTTCTAATAAATGATCAACATGTGACCAGGCTGATTGTGTGTCTTCATATCCCGATGACGTGGATCATTGCTCATGCTGTCAACCACTGGTTCAACTGACCCAGACTTGATTATTCACATGCCACCATGGTATAGCTGGATTGTATCGGCAGGATTTCACACACTCATTGAAGAATAGGGGGTTCGTTCATTTTAAAAGAAATTCACCTTGGTCAGCACTTTAAGGAGATATATTTAGGCATGCTGCTGTCCAGATTTGTACAACTTTGTGATAATGGTTATATGTGATTGATCCTCATTAGGACTGATACACACATTGTAACAATTGTTATATTTGGGGTAACTCTTTCTCAGTTAATTACAAATTACAGTTACATTAATCCTGACACAACTTTGTAATGACAGTTACATTAATCCTGACACAACTTTGTTATGACAGTTTCATTAATCCTGACACAACTTAATGACAGTGGCATTAATCCAGACACAACTTTGTAATGACAGTTACATCAATCCTGACACAACTTAATGACAGTGGCATTAATCCTGACACATCTTTGTAATGACAGTTACATTAATCCTGACACGACTTTGTTATGACAGTTACATTAATCCTGACACAACTTCATGACAGTTACATTAATCCTGACACAACTTTGTAATGACAGTTACATTAATCCGGACACAACTTCATGACAGTTACATTAATCCGGACACAACTTCATGACAGTTACATTAATCCGGACACAACTTAATGACAGTGGCGTTAATCCTGACACAACTTTGTAATGACAGTTACATTAATCCTGACACAACTTTGTAATGACAGTTACATTCATCCTGACACAACTTCATGACAGTTACATTAATCCTGACACAACTTTGTAATGACAGTTACATTAATCCTGACACAACTTTGTAATGACAGTGGCATTAATCCTGGTACAACTTTGTAATGACAGTTACATTAATTCTGACACAACTTTGTAAAGACAGTGGCATTAATCCTGACACAACTTCATGACAGTTACATTAATCCTGACACAACTTTGTAATGACAGTTACATTAATCCTGACACAGCTTTGTAATGACAGTTACATTAATCCTGACACAACTTAATGACAGTGCCATTAATCCTGACACAACTTTGTAATGACAGTTACATTAATTCTGACACAACTTTATAAAGACAGTTGCATTAATCCTGACACAACTTCATGACAGTTACATTAATTCTGACACAACTTTGTAATGACAGTTACATTAATCCGGACACAACATGTCTTGTTTACTCATGCAATACATTGATGTTGAATATGAAATACCCAGAACATACAGAAATATGCTTCCATTGTCTCAGATAAGCCCACCCTAACCCTGCTACTTTACTTTACCCTCGCACAATACATGGTTGCTGACACATGCAAACAGTGGTGATGTGCTGGACCACACCCAGGGAATCCTCTTATCATGTCACTACGACTAAGTTGTGGTGTCAGTTGATGGAGAGAGACTGGAAATCAATACACCACCAGCTGACAGACACAGGCATTAATCCACTGATAGGCTTATGAAATATTTGACCTTTCAGCATGTTCAGACAATATTATTGTTGCTTCCATATTTTGTTTGTGATTTTATCATGACTCTATGTGTATGTTTTGAGGAAGGGCATTGTTTGATATTAACTTGTTCATTTGTCTGTAATTTAGGATGGTTCATAATCTTAACCATCTCTAGATTCATTTTTGAGGCTTTCCTTTTACTGATTGATATTATTGATTATTCATCTTTGTTTTTTCATTATTTTTATGTTTAACATTTTTAAAGGAGATTTACAGTAAACAATAAATATAGGATTAAATCATTTAGGAAGCATATTAATACAAGTATCTTGAAGGACATAATTCTAAAGGCTACATTCTGACAAAACATTAGAACCTACTCGTATTTCGAAAACTACTGTGAGTTTATGAGCAGAGTTGTTATCATGTGATGTGACGTCATAGTGGAGAGCTGACTTGCAGACGATCACTGTTTCTGTATAGAGGTTGGTAGATTACTAGCCTTCGCCATGGCATCACCTGACAATGCCATAGACATTAATGTTGAATTTTCACTCAGTGACCCTACACATATTCATCCATATCGATATGAGCCAGTGGTTAGTCAAAATAGTCTTGACAGCAGCGAGGAAAGGGAGGAAGATCTACCGAGTGAAGACCATCAGTCTGATGTCAACACGGAAAGACTAGGGAACGCAATCTGGTGTTAAACGCTATCCTGACATTTCAGAATAAAATGGATGTTTATCACTAAAAAATGTTTTGTGAGGCAGTTATTATTGTGTAAAATGTGCCAGGTGTAGATTGACGCTAAGCATTGTCAACTTGGGCAAAACATTGTTAATTGTGTTGTCTTTATGCCAAACAATTAGCACAGGGCTATTTAAGCTAAATTTGTTGTCTTACAAATGAAAGTTATGTGTTAAAATTGTATTGTCTAGTGATCGTTGGTTCAGTTAATACTGCTGTGTAAACAGTTATAATAACATGTACTTCATTGATCAATAGAGGGACACTAGTGACAGGGATTTAGCTTACTACATGCATAGTGACTCTACTCGTCTTGTCAGTAAAACATCCATCATTATAACATGTACTTCATTGATCAATAGAGGGACACTAGTGACAGGGATTTAGCTTACTACATGCATAGTGACTCTACTCGTCTTGTCAGTAAAACATCCATCATTATAATATGGTACCATATGTTAGAGAGAGACACAAATGAAGAACTTGTTACTTGACTCGGGCTTGGGACTAGTGGCTAAAGTCGCAGATTGAGGCCTGAACTGTGGAATAAGTATTTACATTTCACAATTTCTTTAGCGTTTCTGTGGAGAAACGACTACATTGTATCTGCATGTTTTGATCATGATGAAATTTTGTATTTGCACAAACGCATGGAGTGAGTGAGTGAGTGAGTGAGTGAGTGAGTGAGTTGGGGTAAGGCTGCACAGAAGAGTATGTATTTGTCATCATGATCTCAGGGTGTCAGGGTAGGGGAGGAAAGTTGAGTGTAGGTCGTGGAAGTTGACTTTTGTTAAATCCATGGGTATGGTGCTAACTAATGGGCCACCTGAACACATGACTGAAGATGAGACATTTCCATGTTCCCGAGGCAAGGGAGTTAAGTGACTGTAGAAGTCCAGTTTGGAGGTACACATGTTTTGCAAATCCTGCAGTCGTCTGAAATCTGCACGGCAGTTCATCAACCTGATGTCAATTTCGCAATGCGATTTTGATTGGACTTATACATAGACTTGTGGACTTTTATGGTCAGTTAACTCCCTTACCTTAGGGAAGATGGAACCTTTCTTACCTTATTCAACAGATAATAGACTATATTATTTTGTACCAACAGTCAGTGCACACAGTTAAGGGAGATAACTTGTATCGGTGTAGGAAACCTCCAAGCATGTGCATTATGTTTGGTTAAATATGCTTTCACCTCATAATTGTAATAATAATTATATTCATATGTTTCAGTCACCTGATTTCTACGTTGAAATGAAGTGGGAGTTTGCCAGCTGGGGTAAGTGACATCTCCGTCGCATACTGTACTCCTTAACCCTGTACGTGTGTTCCTGATGACGAATAAAGTGAGATAAGCTCCCAACCCACTCTTGATGATGATAAGACACTTTTTCTCAGTCAGTCATTAACATAGCAGCTTGAGAGTATACCCACTTACATCAAAATATTGAAACCATGTGGTTGTGTGCATTTCAGAATGGGGCCAAGGGGACTTTTACACACAATTTTACTAATGGCACAAAAAAATATATATCACTGCACCAAAAGGGCACAACATGACATCCTAACATTTAAATACGTTTTCGATAGTATCTTCTACAACTGACTTTAAAGGGGCACTGATCTAACGCAATTCCCCGGGACTGGTTGTTGCCTTTGTTATTGTTTTTTCCCAGTGAGTCCCCGAATGTATAGCAGAAATCTAGACTAGTTCGCGACCTCTGCTGCGCCTTTCGCAAGCGCATTTGTCACTTTTATGGATACCGGTAGTAATAAGGGCGTATGGTCACATTGATCAACAAAATGAAATACAGTTTTCGAGATAATAAGGAAATGTGGGTATCTTTGGGGGTAGCATCGGTAATGGTGATGAAGTTTTGATAAGTCACTTCCTTGGTAATTTTGCGATTTTCGTTTACACTATTTTTACTTGCAACACGAAGTAAATATTTCACCTAAGCATTGCTTTTTTATAGTGTGTATATTCTTTTACTGTCAAAATGTGTAACATATTTATTAAACGTCTAAATATTTTACAAAGTGACTGAAAAACATTTCGTTGAAAAGTACATTTCTATGATGTTTGGCTTCTAATCCTACATAATAATCTGTTGTGATGTTTGTAGGCCCTTTTGATCGTCTTAATCAATCTGGACAGATTTCTTAGTCAAAATGGCTGAAATATTTACACATTTTATAAATTGCCTGAGGGAATCAAATTTTACAAATTGACGGTAATATATACACGCTTACAAAGGAAAAGACTAGTGAAAACAACGTCTATCGCGCATTGAAGAATTTCCCAACCAAGACGTAGAGAAACAAGAAAGAATCGGTTCAAATGAAGGAAAACAAAATGCAAATACCATAATTACAACCCACCAAATTTATGTGTATAAATTTTAGGCAGCTTCCTTGTTCGAGGAATGTATCCGTGAATATCCACACAAAGGAACAATATCCCACTCGTCTGCAGCTGTACAAAGAAACTTATTCAATGTCACGTGTCTCTGTAACAATCAAATATTTTAAAAGATATATATCGTTTCGGGATATTATAACCCGTGGTCGTTTCTCAACTGATCACTTGGATTGTTTCAGGTGTTTCACATAGGTGTCAAGTCTGAAGGGTCGGCTGAGAAAGCCCATGTGACAACTATTTTCATAACGTCCACGGTTCCATTGAGTGATAGATAACAATGATCAATCAATCAACGTATTATCAGTTAACCCTTTGAACAAATTATGTTGTTTTTACATCGGCACTTCACGCCATGATGTGAGTGTATTCCCTTTGTTTTAGTAAACCTAGACATGTAAACACTCACTTTTGACATATCCACTGTGCAAGATAACAGTGATTAATCAATTAACATATTTTCTGTTAATCCTTTGATGACCAGGAACGATCTGTTGATTTAAAAAAAAAAGTAAATGAACTGATCATTCATCTCTTGCTTGGCTGCCACGTGTATATTACATAACACACATTTCACCTCACTTCAAACCTGGATTTAGATTGAATTATTACCCCAGACACAATAAATGCCAAATGGGAACCTTTGTCAGGTAATCTAAGTGGGGCTACCACTAATTGTACCTGTAATAAATTCATTAACTGAGCATCAAGGGAATGACGACAAATACACAAGTGTAGGGTTAGACGAGAAAACGTGGATGACAACAAGGGAGTAGTAATCGTATTATCGACGCAATCCAAAACCCGAAAATGCTTTCACTGCATGGATACTTTTTTTAGTATTAAACTATAACCATCTGGGGTATTACCAAATTACGACATCCGATGAGCTCCGCCGTTTTTTTGTCTCTTTGTTTAGGCTGAAGAAATTAATTAACATGCGCCCTTTGTCGAAATCTTTATAGATCACAGTTAACCAATCACTGTTTATGCAAAAATGCGTAAAACAAATATTGCTTCCAGCCTCCAAGTTCATTTAGCTGTCCTTGCAGACGGTAGCCCAGTCTCTGGTCACGCTCAGTTGCGTTGCGTATCATCCGGATACTCACGGGGAAAAAACAATAACAAAGGAAGCAACCAGTCCGGGGAATTGCGTTAGATCAGTGCCCCTTTAATTCAACACTAAGTATCATCGATCTTTGTCACAATAGGAAGTATACATGTTTTAGCGATTGGAATAGATTTATCATTTATCATAACCTCAAAAGCTTTCAGTTAGCATCAGTAGCAAAAGGTTTAGTGATAAGTTCCGTATGAATTGACCCTTGCAATGTAACAAGTTTTGATTGGCTGGAATAATCACTTCTGGGAATAAGAATTATCTCCCTTACATCACAAGGCTAAATCGGCTATAGTTTAAGCTTTCATTTTACCATCTCGTATCTCTGTTACTCACTTGTGTTGTTTTTATCACCCCGGCATATAATCCGGGTGGGGGGGGGGGGGGGGTGATATGGTCATCATCTGGTTTGTCTGTCGTTTCCGGAGTCTAACTTGAAAATCATGAAAGTTTTTTCATCCAAGCTTGGTACATGTATTAACCAGGGGCTGAAGTGGTGCCTTTCGCTATTGTCGGGGCCAGGGGCATGTTCTGACTCTTGTCAACTAATGTGTTAATCTGTTTATCTGTTGTGTTTACAATGACAAGTTATGAAGTAATTTATTTTTGTTCATTTTTAAGTTAAATTTTTCTGAGAAAGTGTGACTGATGTTCTGTGTTAAGTTTACAATGGTTTTCTTGAACATAACTGTTGAAAGATCTGCAGAAAGTATTGTTTACTCTGCCTGGAGGAATGACCTGTCTTTGAAAAGGGAATTAATAATTCACCTCATGTGAATTCATAAAATAACATTGACAAGTTTGATCCCTGATCATCATGATCATGCTGATGAACATAGCAAAGGTAACTTTCTCCAAGTTTTATGTCTTTATTCCAAAAGTATTTGTGTGTCCCCTGGTTTCATCAAATGTCCCCAACTCTTAGAAAGGTTGGGGTCATTTTTCCAGTTTCTGAAATAAACAGTGAATGTTGGTTTGCCCTGCACATGTTGTGACAATCTTTGTAATGATCCTTGTCCTTGGACACAATAACAGCCAGATACAGCTTCCCCATGTTCATGATCAACTCACAACTGTATATGCTGTGTGGATTCAGGGACAGAATAGGCTCCATGCTGTCACTCAGCCAAGACAAGTTATTCACTTGGTTGAGGCATGTCATTGTATCCCAATTGTGCAGATCGATGCTCATGGTATCAATCACTGCATTGTCTGGTCCAGACTCAATTATTACAGACCACTGTCATATACTATATAGCTGGAATATTGCTGAGTGCGGTGTTTAACAACAAACAGTTTGAGATCCTGTTCATCCTCGCTCACCATACTGAGTATTGTGCTGACATAGCGGTTTGTTGCTTGCAGTCCCCCTGATCTCCCGGATGTGCCCCAGTGATACGTACCGGGTGTGGAAGTGTGGTAAGATGAACCAGAAATATTTGTTTGATTTATGTTGAAGGCAATGACAAGAAGGTATTTGCTTTCTTGAACCAATGTGCTTTATTTGTTTGAATTTCTAGGATTTCTTTTACAGCAATTAATCTCAAATGATTAAAGCATTTATGTGAAGTTTACCTGATACTCACCTTATCTGGTCACATTGCTGAAAGCTGATGTTGATAAGTTCATGAACAACAATGATACTATTATGACTGTACTGTATTCTAGAAATTGATGTACTGGCTCCCTACATCAACATTGCTGTTGAGTACACTAGCAGGAGAGAATACATGCTCCCTATTTATTATCATGTCGACAACATTCTGCTGCAATATATCTCAGCACTTATCTTGCCTGTTTAACACATCTCATATTCCCGAGGCAAGGGAGTTAACTGACTGTAAAATCCAGTTTCCACCCTTGTCGAACTGGATAATCTGAGAGTGATCATAGTGCCACCAGTGGCTTTTACATCAAATACCGTGAGGACATTGATTAAAAACATGAGTCTAGAAAATATCTGTTGACGTCAGGTTGGTGGTACACAGGCTTTGCAAATCTTGCAATCGACCAAAATCTGCACGGCAGTTTACGAACCGGATGTCAATTTCATGGCATGATTCTGATTGGACTATGCATAGACTCGTTAGTCAAGCCAACATGTAACTCCACAATTCCAGCCTAGTTTGGCAAGGGTGGAAACTGGACATTTAACGTCAGTTAACTCCCTTGTCTTGGGAAGATGGACTCATCTTAATACTCCTCTTGAAGTAATCTGTGGCGAAGTAGCAATGATGACGTGCACCTTATTGCCACACATTCAGTGACAACACTAAGGAAATCTCCCCCTCCACATTGATCATGTTTTGATTTCCTGTACTTGAATAATGACTGACTGTCTGTGACAGACTAACTGAGGTAGTTATCAACATGAATCAGTCTTCTCATGAGTATGTTCTGGTTACTACAGGTTCCAATGTCCGTATCGACACCACACTGCTGGGCTTCGACAACATGAACTGGCAGCGGGGGAGCCGTAGCTACATCTTCAAGGGGGAAGGTACGTAGCACCAGACAATGACAAAAAGGGTTGTGGGGGACGTTGGCTTGCAACACAGGGACATGATTACACCTACAAGGGTTGTTGATAACTTTAAGTCTTTGTTTCAACAAAAGGTCATATATGAGGAAATATGGCTGTGTGAAAAGATGTCATTTCAAAAATAAATTTTAAATATTGTTTGTTGATAGAAAAGAAAGGTAGATGATCAACATATTTTAGGAAATATTAACAAAGGGATTGTGTAAAAAAGTGTCATTTGGGTGAATATAAACTGAACTGCAAAAAAAAATTTGCACATGAGAAAATAATGTGATTTTAAATAGGCACAAACACATAGCCCAAACCCATCGTTATTGTCCCTGTAATTTTTACCGGCAGTGCGCACATTTTGAGAAAATGCAAAAAATGTAAAATCACTTGATGTCATTGCTAGTGAAATGCACATGGCACAGGGGTATAAAAACTGCACAGAACAACGTGAGTGAGCAATTGGGATGGTCATCGGACAGGCCTAGGACAGGGAGACCACGGTTCACTACACCACAGGAAGACAGGTATCTGCAAACGTTGCACCTCCGCAACCACTTCCTCACAGTAACGTCATCTGCAGCGAATGCTTTGGGTCGGCGAGTGAGCACACACACAGTGACCAGAAGACTTCGGGCAGCAGGTATCAAGGCTTACTAACCTTTCAGAGGACAGATGTTGACCGCTGAACATCGCTGCAGACGAATACGATGGGCTAATACAGTGCGACGGTGTCAGCATCCAGACTGGCAACGCGTGGTCTTTACGGATGAAAGCAGGTTCTGTTTGTTTAGAGTTGACCACAGACAGCATGTTTACAGCCACAGAGGTGAACGGACAGCTGCGTTCAAGAAGTCATTCCTCACGGTGAAGGTGGCGTTATGGTGTGGGGTGGAATTTGTGGAGACCAGACAACGCCACTCGTCATCAATGTAAACCTCAATGCGCAAGGCTTTAGAGATGACATCGTCCATCCAGTATAGCTGCCCTACCGCCAGCAACAACCCCGAGGTGTTGTGTACCAACACCACAATGCCAGGCCCCACACAGCTCGTATCGTAAGGAACTTCCTTGCCACCGTCAATGTCTTACCATGGCCGGCATGGTCTCCTGACTCGGGTTTGCATGTATGGAGGCACGAGGTTTCCACATTCGGTGCTAAAGTGACAAATTTTGTGTCTGTGACCACTTTCCGTGTTTGAATGAATTGCAGTGAAAATCTGGACAACTGAATTTTCAACTCCCTCTGATTTTGTTTGTCTGGTGTACGATATTTAACCACAAAATGTCAAGTTTGAGTTGTTCAATACTTTGTGGAATTGTTGGTTTATCAAATATACTATACCTCAAACTTTTGTTATTTTTAGTTTATTAATTACAGTCACTTCAATCTGGTGCAAAGTTTCTTTTGCTGTTCAGTTTATTAACATATATATTTGCGTGAAAAATATTTTTCCTTCATTACACAATTTAATTAACAGTCGAGCCAGGAAGAAATAATGTTCCACATTTGTGTAAATTTTCACTGACACTGAGGAATATCATTATCGAATTATGCAAAACTTGAGTTACCATGGTTATCAATAGTGTTTTTAAGGTATGTCTTGAGATTGTAGCATCACTATTCTTTCTTCAAAGAGGTTTTCCATGTTTTTTCTTGTATTCAAATAGCATGTAGTGAGTCTAAATATTGCTGTGTTTGCCGATTGCAGGGGACAAAGCGACTGTGATGGAGATAGATCACGATCAGCGTGAGGTGTACAGCGAGACGATGAGGATCTCTCCGTCCATGCCTGACTCCTCAATCATGAGACCCTCGGAGGCCGCCATCGCAGCCAGACTTACCTCCCCTATAGTCACCACCTACATAGATACAGATAAAATCTCATTTGAGAGGTCAGTACTTCTCCATATAAGTAGTAAACACAGGAGGAACGAGTGGCCCAGTCGTAAAACTGGACAGACTTACCTCCCCTATAGTCACCACCAACATAGATATGGATAAAATCTCATTTGAGAGAAAGTACATGTCCATATGTTGTATTACTGAAAGCTAGACTTACCTCCCATACAGTTGTCATATCCATAGATGCTCGGGCTGGGACGAGTCCAAGTTTACCACCTGAGTTCCCATCCCCCTTTTACCTAAACCTACCCGGCTACCCGCTGTAGGCCTGAAGTTGGGTACAAAATGTTGGATTGGAAATTAATTTACTGGGGCCCTGGCAAAACAATTTTCGATGCATATATAAAATGATCTGATCATGCATACACCGAAGGTGACTGAAGCTTCATCTTCACTCAAACATGTAAAAATCAGAAGCAATGGGTGAAAGAAATGCAAACATTAGCGACTTGTAGTGTAACCATGGTTCTTATTGTAACCATGGGTCCGGGTAGTCCTGTGGGTACCCGGGTCATACTCGGTACCCAACCGACCCGAACACCCAAGTTACCTGTTTCAGACCCGATAGATCTTATTTGAGAGGTCAGTACTTCTTCACATTAGTAGTGTTCTTTCCTTTTTTCAGAAATGATGCTGTGTTTGAGTAAAATATGCATATTATGGCCAAAGCAATTAGAAGTGTAACGATATATCAAACTATCCCACAATTACACCAATTAACTACACCAATTGTTTGCCCAACTGTGATACCATATCGATAGGAATAAAGAGACTAATAGTATCGCTGATGATATGCATAACAATCAATAGTATCAATAGTTGCAGTTAGTTGTAAATAATACATATGTTATGCGAATTTCAAATCTGTCTGTGGGTTGGTTTGCAAGGATTGCAGACAACTTCAGATTAGAGTTACTTCCCTTTGGTTTGAGTTTGAGGAGGAAAATGGCTGTCTTTGAGATTGTCAGCCATACTTTTTTCATTTCTATTACACTGATTAATATGATTATCAAGCCTTAAACATGTTAAAGCTGGTTTACTACTCTACTGTCTCAATAGTGTGGGTTACTATCGCAATACAATCTCAAAATTAAAAATGGCCCCAATATTCATCCCTAAAAGCAATATTGTAAATCTGGGTATTAATGTGTTTCCAAATTAATACAACTGCTGACCCCTTGCCAAAAATGCGATTCAATATCAATATCAATGCACCTCCCCCACCCCATCGCCAGTAGGATGGTACAAGAAGGCAAGGGAGTTAACTGACTGAAAAAGTCCAGTTCCACCCATGCCGAACTAGGCTGGAATTACGTGGCTTGATCGTAGAGGCGGCACCCAGTGAAATCAATCTATTGTAAATCATGTGATTTAAAACATGAAAAGATTAAGAAAATATCTGTGTCTGCTGAGTTGGCGGTACAAATGCTTTGCAAATCCTGCAATTGACCGAAATCTGCACGGCAGTTTATGAACCGGATGTTGATTTCGTTACAGATTTTTGATTGGACTATGCATAGACTTGTTAATCCAATCAAAATAGTACTCCATAATTCCAACCTAGTTTGGCAAGGGTGGAAATTAGACTTTTCTAGACATCCTCGATGATCCAGCGTGTTGATATATTTAAATCATTCTGGGACCTGTGCCCCTCTCTTGCCTTCTGCTTTGTTTTATTTTCCTTTTGTTTTGGAGATGATCTTTATCCCAGTAAAGAATATTGAATATGAGAAAGTGAAGGCTATTTATTTCCTGTTTCTTCTCAAGGGACGTAGCAGGGGAAAATTATAATGTAAGCAATCATATTGCACTCTCATTAAACGCTCATAACACTTATCAAACACAAACACAAGTAGGCCCGTGCTCCATATCTAAACCATAAATATCACAAAAAACATCCTTTACCACATTCTGTACAGTACACATTTTCAGTATAAAACAGTTCGATCAAACCCAGGTACGGTTCCCTCATAAAATATAAATTGTCATTGCAAGAGAATAACCACTCCAGAATATCCAGCAAAACAGGTTCCATTTGGAGTTTAAGGTAAAATAGCTGTGAAAATTATATGAATGGACCACTGAAAATCAGTTATGACACCAGGTGTTCGCGAAAAAGGTAAAGGGAATATTAACAAGCAAGCAAAATCATCGAACCAACTCGTCCTGACAACTTTTGACACTGGTAGGCAGATCAACTTGTAAATTAACAAAAGATCATGTAACTATAACAAACAACTGAAAGAAGAACACACTAATGTACTTTTTTTAGATTATTTTGTTTTATATTATTTTTGTGACAATTTCAATGTGTAGGCACTTGCTGTTTGTGCTACGTGGTAGCTACGCCACGTTCTCTGTTATATGTTCAGGGGACTCCAGGTACCGACACAACAAACAATAGATGTTATTCACTACCGTTTCCACAAGTTATCAGTCTTATGTTGTCTCAAGTTTTATACTTGACCTATCTCTCACTATGCATTTCTTCTTCTTCTTTGATCCTATGTGGAAACGTGCTTGAACAAGGTTTGTAGCCTCTAAGACAAAAAAACATTCACCCAAACACACCCCAGCCTATCTCTTTGGTTACTGATCAACAACAGAATAGGTCTTCAGCAACCCATGCTTGCTGTAAATGACGACTATGCTTGTCGTAAGAGGCGACTAACGGGATCAGGTGGTCAGGCTCGCTGACTTGATTGATGAATGTCATCGATCCCAATTGCATAGATCGATGCTCATGTTGTCAATCACTGGATTGTCTGGTCAAAACTCGATTATTTACACACCGCCGCCATATAGCTGGAATATTGCTGAGTGCGGCATAAAACAACAAATAAACAAACAAACGTGCTCCTGTGCACGGTAACCTTACACGACCTGATCACTTATGTGTCTCTTTCAAAGAGCTATCAAGCTGGAGATGTGATGATGGCCCTCTGGGCATATCACGTGTCAGATAGGATAAGTATGTCAACATACAATTATACTAAAATGTCCTATTTTAAATCATGACATGATTCCATAATTAATTTTACACCTATTCCATCACTTCAGAAACAAGGCTGGTATATGGGGCTGGCGCAATGACAAGATTGAGAGCGTCAACGGATATGAGTGCAAAGTAAGTGCAGGATTCATTTCAATTCATATCCTATTGATGGTGAATATTTAAAAAAGTGAATTGAATGGTGCTTGTTGGATGTTGACTGTTGGGATAGTAGATATTTGCAGTGTAATTGCCCATGGATATTCTAAAAAACCTCCGGAAACTAAATGAAATATCTACAGAGAATGTCAAGAATAATGAACATTTCACAACCCCACGTTTCATGTCAGTGGTAGGCGATGTGAAGTGTTTTTCAAATATATTCAAGGAGTGCAAATTGGTAAACATTTAACTGATTTATCATAAGAAAAGCAACTGATTTCCCAACATTGCAATATAAAAGATATTTCTGCCTTTATTTTCGTACAATTAGGTTTTCACAGTTAACTTCTCACTTTCCTTACTGCTGTATATTAATGATCCAACAGAATCCCCTCTAATGATTGTTTGTGTTGTTCATGTATGATGATGATGGTGATGATACATAATGAAATCAATAAGAACATGATGACGAGTTACAGATAATTGTTGAATCAGCATGAAACTAGACATTTTTCTCTGTCAGGTACAAATCAAATGTATGTCACACTGACCTACTTTCTTCCAGGTCTTCAGTGCTAGCAATGTTGAACTGGTCACAAAAACTCGCACGGAGCACCTCACGCAACAAGACAAGGAGAAATCAAAACGCAACAATAAAACGCCCTTGGAGTCTTTTCTTGGAGTAGCAGAGGAACACACAAAAACCCAGGCCGCAACAAATGGGGTAAATGTTAAGCCCAGTGCCAATTTGGCAACTTTATCTATTTTTTTAGGGCGGTTATGGTGTTAACTCTGCAGGTCACACCGCTGCTGGTCTTTAACTCTTTCTGAGCACTGGGATTTTAATTGGTAGGATATTAGGCTGCAGCTGGCTTAAAGTGGTAGAAATATTTGTTTCTTTGATATAATGTGTAGCTCACATGGACTGAGTGTTTATGAGCTTATGCCATGGTACTGTCTGGTGCTAGTCGTTCTGTGCTGACTTTTCCAACCCTTACTGTGCATTGCCCTCTCAAACTTATTTAACCCAAATTGTCATTTTAGTTTTTTAACACTGCGTATGTCATGTCATTTAAAACAAAAGTGTATAGCTTTCTTGAGTTTCTTCTTTCCATTATACAGTTGTCTTGCATGTGTTTTTCCAAATTGGAAATGAAGTCATCAAACTTCTGCAAAAGCTTTTCTCGTTATGTGTCTTGATACCCCCATTGTTTAGATGATTGCTTGTCCTGGCAACCTCTCTGGTGGGCCCAGATTATATACTGGATGTAGACATTTACAGCTTTACCACGAAACCAACAAGTATGGGTTTGATACCGTCCCACCAATCTATTATTAGTGTTTGGAATACCCACCCGTCTGACTGTCTGATGTTTGTTGTCAACTTTTCATACATGCATATATGATGGTCTGATGCTAATCTGATGGTCTGAATAATAGTGTTAAAAAATTCATGGCTGGGAACTTTTAACCCGACTGCCAATTTAGACTTAGACTGTTCTGATGGCCTGGATAGAATCTATCTAAATGTTATACCATGCTAGTGAAGAGGCAACAAGACTGTACGTCCTGACTGGTATTGAACAAAGGATCTTGAGAGGGTGAGCTTCAGAGCCTATGTGTGTACTAACCATCCTCTCCCTCTGTTCACCAGATCTCATCAGTGTCTTATAATCCCTGTTCCATCACACCGGAGGAATATTTCAATAAGTTGATCAACCTTGAGGAACGTGACATCGGCCGCCCAATTGAACAGGCAACAAAGACCCAGAAGTTCAAGGCCACCTTGTGGTTGTGCGAGACATTCCCTCTATCCCTGCAGGAACAGGTGGTGCCCATTATAGATCTGATGGCAGCTAGCAACGCCCACTTTAAGAAGCTTCGGGACTTCATCACTCTGCAGATACCAGCTGGCTTCCCTGCAAAGATTGGTACGACTGAAACTGAATCGCATTTTAGTGTACCTCATAGTAAGGTTCAGATAATGTAATACAAAGGTTAGTGTTTTTGCTTGACATACTACAGATCTTGGTTTGATTTTCTTATTTTAATGGATTATTTACAGACCGCCGTTATATAGCTGGAATATTGCTGAGTGCAGCATTAAACTACAAACAAACAAACAAGCTAAAGTCAAATGTTTATGCCAGATTTGGAAAACTCATGTAATAGCAATCCACAGCAGCAAATGGGTACCTGGTAGGATAAGAAATTAAATGCAAAAGTCATATAGCACCTAACATACAACTTGGGTTTTATGCTCCTCATACAGCTCAGAAAGCAATTTGGAAGCACAACGAAGCACATGTGATTAGAGCAAAGGGGATCGATACGCAATCTAAATATGCATTACTATCATTTATTATTTCAGAAATTCCACTTTTCCATGTCCTGAATGCCAGAATAACGTTCGGCAACATCTTTGCAATGGAGTCGTCAGTGGACGGCGTCTCTTACATCGAAGATGAGGAATGTTCATGTGTTGTAGACGATTCCTGCTTCAACCCACCCCCTGGATACGGTCGTCTAGGTGAGCTATATGTACTGTTCACTAGTAGCTTCACTATTGCAGGGACTAAACACAACACCACTTTACTCATGTGTACATGTCATGGTGTGTACCTAGTAATCTGTTAATTTTTTACTTATCCTGCATTACTCCTTAATGCATTCACTGCTTACCTTACGACAACAAAAAGAACACTAACTGGATGCAAAACTTTATGCAGTTCATATGGCAGCAGTTTATGGCACACCTGTATCCTGCACCTACGCCTATGCAACAGACTTTGGCACAAGGGTTAGCGCCTACATCAGCACCGAACGTATACCAAACGCCTAATGTGCGTTCCGGTACAACGCATACATCGCTGGGCAGCGCATCAGGGCACGAATCCTTATCGCCAGGCGGGTCATCAAAGCCTTCAGATAAAGGAGGCTCTACGCACCGGAGCAGAAGCCGATCGCCATCAAACGAGTGCGTCAGCATCGCTCTGACTCGTCTGACTTTTTCAAATGGCGAGGATGGCGATTCCTCTGTGGAATGGAATACGCATCTCTGCTTAGTGCAAATACCCAATTGGGTAGCAGACCATCTCGTATCAGTAGCGCCCTTCCCTGGTACAGGATGGATAAGAGGGACACCATGGGGTCACATCCGACATCGGTTCTTGGGGATCCCTTGTTGACAGACATGACTAGTGGCGCCCTTCCCTGGTACAGGATGGATAAGAGGGACACCATAGGGTCACATCCAACATCGATTCTGGGGGGTCCCTTGTTGACAGACATGACTAGTGGCGCCCTTCCCTGGTACAGGATGGATAAGAGGGACACCATAGGGTCACATCCAACATCGATTCTTGGGGATCCCTTGTTGACAGACATGATTAGTGGCGCCCTTCCCTGGTACAGGATGGATAAGAGGGACACCATAGTGTCACATCCAACATCGATTCTTGGGGATCCCTTGTTGACAGACATGACTAGTGGCGCCCTTCCCTGGTACAGGATGGATAAGAGGGACACCATAGGGTCACATCCAACATCGATTCTGGGGGATCCCTTGTTGACAGACATGACTAGGTCATTGAATGAACACTTCTCCAAGCTTACACTTGCTCTGTCATTTAGGCCACCCAAGCTTATGATTGATGATTTTCTATCCATGCGGTTGCGGTCGCAGACCAAGGTCATAGTTCGGATGATAAGGATATAAATTATGACAGGCTTGTCATTAAGGAACCCTTAAGGAACAAGATACCAGATTTGCGTTCACAGAAACGGAAATCAGGCGTTCACTGAAACCGTTGTCAGCACCAACATCGTCAACACATGCGATGGATCAGGATCTATCAGGGTTAACCCTATCCAATATGATCATTGTCAGCACCAACATCGTCAACACATGCGGTGGATCAGGATCTATCAGGGTTAACCCTATCCAGTAAGATCATTTCCAAACTGTGGTAGATTTTCAACAGCGTAAGATTGACCATGAGAAACCATCTTAAGGCCGCTCTGGCGGAGATTACGTCACTCGCAGACTTGGTTCTTTAGTGCTTTCCAACTGGGTGCAGTCTGCTACGTCAACCTTGGTCATCTACTTCCCTGTTCAATGAACAGATCACAGACACGCACGCCAAAGTTCCCAATGACGCTTGGGATGACACCGTGCTCAAGGCTCAAGAGCAGGTCTCTTAAAGTGTAGGAAAGGGCGTGGCAGAGGCAAACTCTCAAGGAAGATTATGTACTCATCGTACTACGTCACGGTTACCGTCTACACATAGAGGTAACCCTACTGCTGACCACAGTTCCTCCGCTTTGGAAATATCCAAGAAATCAACATCTGCTATTAAAACCCAACATAGACAATCTGTCTGTGTTCAAGGATGGTTATCTGAAGCGTCCACCTGGAGTTCACTACCAATGGGCAGTTCTCCCATTTGGCATTTCAGTGACCCCGTGGCTATTTACACGAATAATGAGGCCAATAACTGCGGAACATTTGGTTTGAGTTGTACATAGACGACTGTCTCCTTGTCATCAACACACGCCAACGTTAGTTCGCCAACGGGAATATCAACTGGGATGGATAATCAACAAGGCGAAGTCGGAGTTAACTCCATCCCATCAGCTTCAGTTCATAGGAGACCTGTTCCAGACAGACCAGAATCTCCTATCAGTACTGAGGGACAGATGGCACAAAATCCTAAGCCTCTTGTCACCAGTGCTTCACCAATGGAAAGTGTTGCTAGGGTTACTCACCTAGCACAGGACTCAGGACATCAGGCGTCGGGATCCACTCAAGGCCATCACTCTACCAGCTTAACTAAGGACTCACCTCAATTGGTGGATGATAGAGTCTGACGTCTTAGGATGAGTCTCTTTATCAGGGTTATCCCTGAGTCTACACTTGTTTGTAGACGCCTCCCTTCAGGGGAAGGGTGCTCCCCTGCAAGGCCAGACAGCCTCAGGGCTATGGTCCGGCGCTCATCAAAAGTGGCACATAAACAACTTGGAGTTGGAAGCATTAATTCTGGCTGACAGAATCAGCTACAGTCCGCCTGACTTGCAATATCCACAGACAGCAGCACTGTGGTGTGGTACCTCAACTCACTCCCACTCCCTGCTTCAACAGACATTCAGGTTTTTCCATTTAGCATGTTTAGTGAATCGTCTGGAACTACAGTTCATAGTTCAGCACATCCCCGGATGTCAAAACATACAAGCCGATGACTTATTGCTTCCTGACAGGGTGGCTCCAACGGAGTGGAAACTTCACACAGAAGCATTCCAGCCACTGCTTCAGAAGTTCAGGAAACCAAACATCAACCTGTTTGCTACGTGCCTAAACCACCAACTCATGACATATGTCTCCCTGTTACCGGATCCACAGGCTTTGGCGAGGGATGCATTTAGCATCCCTTTGGGGACGACTAAAAGCATACGCTTTTCTGCCACCTGTTCTACTTCCCAAGGTGATACAAAGATCAAGGAGACAAGGAATCTTGCTCTGACTTTTGTCGTGCCCTGGTTACCGTTGAGAGGGTGGTTCGTCGAGCTCAGAAATCTAGCAGAAGCCCATCCACTTGCCCTCCTACGGTGGTCCAACCTATTCATCCACCCTTACAGCAAACTGCCACACCTAACGCCAGACAGGATTCGTCTGCATGCTTGGTTCATCTTAAAAAGGCCTTAAGTGCGAAGGGCTATTCCGCACGGGTAGCAAAAGCCATAGCTTTAGCTCATCGTCCCTCTACCAGAGAGTTATACAATGACAAATGGGGTTCACTTGAGACTTTTTGCAAGGGAAAAAAAAAATCAAGACCCTATGATTGTATCACCACAATTCCTAGCGGAATACCTCCTACATTTGCGTACCAAAAGACACTTGAAAGGAAGCACCATTACTGCGTACTTGGTTGCACGTAACTCGGTGTTGGCCGTTCCGGAAAATCGCAAGATGTCTAAGGTCATGGAACTACAGGCCCTACTATGCTCATTCAGGCTTAAGGATCAGAAGGCCAAGTTCCGCCCACCTGCTTGGGACTTGAACGTGGTACCTACGTGGAATGAGGTTTGTGAAGGCCCCCCTTAGCATTTGCTTAGAGCCCCTCTATGCATCCTCATTTTATGACCTCACCAAGAAAACAGTGTTTATCTTGGCTTTAGCCACGGGGTCACGGGTGAGCGAGCTTTTTTCACCCAAGACCATCACTGTGCGCTGTCTTTTTGTTGTTATAAGGGTAGCAGTGAATGCATTAAGGAATAATGCAGCATAAGTATACAAATGTAAAAAATAGTTAGATTTTACTAAATCTGTTGTTTCAAAAATGGGGAGAGCATCAGAAACTGCATACCATTTACCAAGCTTATTTATTGCTTGTGAGATTTTATGGTTGAAGAATTTGTTTCAAATTGTTTTGTTTCTGATTAAAGCATTACAGAATAGACATCAGATAAGGTGAGTAGTAACCATGGTATCTATGTTTAGGTGACGCCCACCATTCAAGACTGCGAGATGAAGATGATGAACTTCTTCAGTTTGCAATACAACAGAGCTTGATGGAAGCAGGCACAGAGAATGATCAGGTATGCAGGGGAACTGCTGGTCCTTTAGTCTATGGCCAGCAGATGTAGCAGAAGGAATGATGGTCCTTTAGTCTATGGCCAGCAGATATAGCAGAAGGAATGATGGTCCTTTAGTCTTTGGCCAGCAGATGTAGCAGGGGAAATGCTGGTCCTTTAGTCTGTGGCCAGCAGATATAGCAGAAGGAATGATGGTCCTTTAGTCTATGGCCAGCAGATGTAGCAGGGGAACTGCTGGTCCTTTAGTCTGTGGCCAGCAGATGTAGCAGGAGGAATGATGTTCCTTTAGTCTGTGGCCAGCAGATGTAGCAGGGGAAATGCTGGTCCTTTCGTCTGTGGCCAACAGATGTAGCAGAAGGAATGATGGTCCTTTAGTCTATGGCCAGCAGATGTAGCAGGGGAACTGCTGGTCCTTTAGTCTGTGGCCAGCAGATATAGCAGGAGGAATGATGGTCCTTTAGTCTGTGGCCAGCAGATGTAGCAGGGGAACTGCTGGTCCTTTAGTCTATGGCCAGCAGATGTGGCAGGAGGAATGATGGTCCTTTAGTCTGTGGCCAGCAGATATAGCAGGGGAAATGCTGGTCCTTTAGCCTGTGGCCAGCAGATGTGGCAGGAGGAATGATGGTCCTTTAGTCTATGGCCAGCAGATGAAGCAGGGGGACTGCTGGTCCTTTAGTCTATGGCCAGCAGATGTAGCAGGGGAAATGCTGGTCCTTTAGTCTGTGGCCAGCAGATGAAGCAGGGGGACTGCTGGTCCTTTAGTCTGTGGCCAGCAGATGAAGCAGGGGGACTGCTGGTCCTTTAGTCTATGGCCAGCAGATGTAGCAGGGGAACTGCTGGTCCTTTAGTCTGTGGCCAACAGATGAAGCAGGGGGACTGCTGGTCCTTTAGTCTATGGCCAGCAGATGTAGCAGGGGAAATGCTGGTCCTTTAGTCTGTGGCCAGCAGATGTAGCAAGAGGCTAGTAAAATGTATGTTTTTAGCTGTGATAAATTGAGTTATTGTGGGAGAAAAAAAACCAGTGTCATATTATTATCATCTAAGGTTGTGAAGTGGTTAAGGCATTCGCTTGTCACACACGAAATGGGTTAGTTTGTCATATAATTGAAATACTGTTCAAATCAGAGTTAAACTCACTCACACACTCTTTTCCAAGGTGACATTCTGGGAGGCGCTGAACAAGACGACGCCCCCGACAGGTCAAGCCCGGGAAGAGGAGGAACGCCTGCTGCAGAGGTAGGCTTTACTAGTGGGGATACAATGATTGGGTCAGCTAGCACAACTGTCCATAGTCCAATGTCAGTGCTTCAATGGAAGTAGAAGAGTTTTTCACGATCCAATTCATGATACTTGCATGTGCTCTTATTTGTGGTGCGTAAGCAATCTTTCTCATAGACAGGAGGGACAAATACCTGTCACACTAACGATTTACAGGTGGCAGTGTCAAGTATGGCTCAATGGATGAAAATATTTACATTTTCACTTTTTATTTTCACTAGTAATTCATGTTTGGTGTAACGTTTATTAAAGAATACATTTAAGAATTGATACATTTTACTTAGTGTGTGATTGTGTCAGGTCTTTGAAAGGCATTTAGAATTGATACACATAAGGATACACTAGGATACAGAGCTGTGAGAGATCTGGCTGCAGAAGTTGTTGTACCCACTAGTTGTGTGGCTTCCTTCCTCCCACAGCTATCACGTGACCGGAAGTGGTGATGTTAATTATAACCACATGACTGCTAATCAATGCACTAAACAGGCGTCAGAGAAAAAAGCTCCCCAGTTTGAAGAGCCAGATAGCATCCTCTGCCTATCATTTTGTTATCATTATATCATTGTTATCTGCCTATCATTATAACCAATATGTTCTCAATTATGTAGACTATAGTCTGGTGTACTTGGGTGGTCTTTTCAAACCTGTTCCTTGTCATCGTGGTGTGCGTTTTGCCGCGATCTCCCCCAGTGACTTTGCAGTATATATCAGGGTTTTGAGGACATGACACACCCAACATGCTCGCAGGCATCCCAATATGGCTGACCAAAGGGACACTTCTCCGACTTCGGAGATAGCCAATCACATCAACACTGAGGTGTTTTTATCCCCAAATAAGACGCAGTCATCCCCAATGGAGCAGTACATCTCCCTCCCCCCCCCACCACCACCATCTATTGCATTCATGTTCGCCATGTCTGCACCTACGTGCACCTCTTTGTCACACCCAGAACTGCACCCTCTCATGGCTCCTGGTTTTGCCTCGTTCCCTACACCATATTTGGATCCCGCCCGGGTGCATTGGATGCGCCTCCGGTTTACAGGATACCTATGCCAGCGCCTCTGGCTACCGCTTACTCCATTGTGTACCCTGGCACCATCGGCGTTTCATTCAACAATCAATATACCCCCAGCCTTGCACCTGTGCTAATAGCTCCCATTACACAGCATATGCGCACACCTTTATTGCCAACCACTATGAACATTTCTAATCTGTCTTTAAGTGTTTAAGAAGACGCCACAACACCTTATCAATCCCACACCCAAGGCTCTATCTCTCCCAGGTCTTCCCTTCCAGACGTCGGTCCCGTAGTCACTCCCCTCTTAGTCGACAATACAACTATCATTCGGACTCTTAGACAAGCTCTGTTGTCATGTCCTTCAAATCGACAGCACTGAGTTAGACTCGCACTTAGGATTTAACCAAGTCCTCAATTGGATGGCGACTGGTTGGCCTCGGTCGCTCCCCACCCGGGTCCGAATGTTGATAAAAGGGAAACAATTTGGTTTTCCCCTACATCCATTTCACCAGATCCCATGCTTACAGATTTAATGTTGGTATTGGATGATGGTTTCTCCAAATTATCCCTAACTCTGACCTTTAAGGCGCCTTGTAACAGGAAGCTAGATTTTCCCTTCCATGCATTCAAAGTCGCAAATAATGCACATACTTGATAGCCAGCTTGCATTTGTGGAAACGGACATCTATCTCGCCCAAACAGACTGGAATTCAAGGTTTTAAAGGCAACTTCTACGTCAGCCCTGGAGTGCATCCTTGTTGTTCATTGGCACTATTTCTGAAACCTGGGATCTCCCACCACGGGTCATCAGGTTCTACTCCCAGGGTATCCACAACCCATGTGTGGTCTTCCCATTTGGCATTTCCACGGACCTGTGGTTATTTACCAATTTCCACTTACCTACACGTCTTACATCAACAACTGCCTACTGAACCATCAGTACACACGATTTCACACATTGTGTACTCACACAACTTGGATGGATCTGCAATGAACTCAAGTCAGAACTCACTCCTTCATTCAAACTCCAGTTCATATGCAGCCTGTTTCACACAGACCAGGATCTCGTCCTGGTACCAGACAACAGGTGGCACAAAATACAGCACCATCTTCTTCCTGCCCTTCACAAAGCTAGCACTCAATGGCAGGTATTAATGGGCCTTCTCTCGTCAGCTCAGGATCTGACACCCAGAGATCAACTTCAACTACATCCGATACAGCAGTTTCTTCCTTCTGAAAGACATGCCCCCTCCTCCGTTCCATCTGATAAAGATACATTAAATACGTAACATCACCACTTCCGGTCACGTGGTAGCTGTGGGAGGAAGGAAGCCACACACCTCGTGGGTACAACAACTTCTGTAGCCAGACCTCTCACAGATCTGTATCCTATATAAAAAAAAACAGCAGTAGAAGCATTAAGGTAGTAATGCAAGATAAGTATCCAAATGTAAAAAATAAGTAGATTTTACTAATATCTGACAGTAAGCAGAGTTGCCTCCCTTGCTCTCTAACTTCCCAAGCAATGTAGGAGATCTGGGACTTTGCAAATGGTTTAGACTTCGCCATCATGCCATCTAATACAGGGAAAGCTACATTTGAGGCACTTTCCAAACTAGCACAATACTACTTCAATAATTGCACCAATATTGCAATCGTGGTTAGAACTATTACATAACTATTGCAGGAGTAAAGGTGACTAAACAGTCACACATCCTTATTACAAATCGTAAATTCTCTCAAAATGCATTTTGGCTCTGTAAACATCTCTGAAATTACCCTTGTGAGGAAGTTTTTTTTGACATTATGTTTCTACTTATGATAACATCATATTTTGTAAAAATCATTAGCATTTTAGTGATGGTTTTTTTCAACAATTGTGTGGCATATGAAAACATCTCCTTGTTTTACATTGCAATAGTGTTATACAATCGTAAATTCATTCTTGCAGTGTTCGAAATCTTGTGGAAATTTAGTCTCCAGTTTTTATTTGAATAGCAATACTGACAGCAACTTTTATTAAAATGTAGTCTGTGTTGACATTTTAAGCTGTTGACTACCGGTACATATGAAGGTGAGCTACAGTGCCGTTGTCCTATTGTTTAGCAAGCATCACCTTGGCTACAGTGTATGTAAGGACACACATTTCCTCTATCTGCAGAGCGATAGCCGAGAGCCTGAGACAGAATTGTGGGCTGGAACAGAGTGGCCCTGTGGAAATAAGTCAACCACGTTCCACACTGACTAATGAAGAGGTGCAGCTGCGTCTAGCCCTGGAATTGTCACAGAAGGAATCGGAGGAGTCCGTCAGACGTCGAAAAGAAGAAGAAGAGCAGTTGGAAGCTATCTTAAGATTATCCCTGACTGACAAGTGATGGGTGTTAGACCTACACTTCGACGTAGTCCAACCTCCTAGCAGAATACTGAGGACAGCTTCGTAGACAAACGAGCTTATCAAAGCAGTTTCTGGAATAGTTGCTGCCAGTTATGGTGCCGAAATTTGTGTGAATTGAGTTATAAATTTGTGACTTGTTCATGGCTTATCATGATTTGTCTACTGATTTTGAACGCAGTGTTTTAGAGATTTAGGAGAATTCCCAGTTACAGTTTAAACAGATCTTCTTCTTCCACCAAAATGTATGTATGGAAATTTGACTTATGCATGAATGAGTCTACACATTTTATTTTGTACAATTTTTGTTACATCTGAGACACAGTATATGTAATATTAAGTGTCTTTATGCAGAAATTAACAGTGTTGACCCTAAGCTATGTCAAATATTTATAGTCAATAACTGGATGTTGTTTGTGAACAATTTGGGCTTGTCAAACAATAATCCTTAAATAAAGTAGCTTTCTTTCAGCTTGTTGGTTTTAAACATCCAGGATAAAGGAAACATAGTCAGGGATAAAAATGATGAGCGTTTATCAATTCCAAACCAGTGCAGCTGGTTAAATTGTAAAGGGAGGTAACCCTTGTCAAAGTTAGTCCTGAGCAAGTGATCCAATTTTGACTCTCAAGTGAGAGCTCATCATCGTCCTCCCAGATTCTTTTCAAGATGTTATAAATTACCAGCACAAGACATAAGATGCTTTAATGCTTTCCGTCATCACAACACGAGGTGATGGTATCAGTGGTGTATTGTATGCTTATTCTGTGTTCAATATCAACAGCCTTGTTATATGTTCCCACATTCCATGGAATTTCCGTTGTTGAAACTGTGGATTTTCCATGGACGTTTCCAGAATTGTTGGAAATCTGGTTTGTAAAAACCTGGTTTGTTTCTCAATGGAAAGTCAATTATCTGTTCTTTGGCATATTACAGTCTGGTAACTTGATGGTAAGCATATTTTCTCAAGCACTGTTTGCAATCATTACCCTAGTTGGCAGATGATACGAGTATCGATACCTGTGTATATATTTGGGTACTTAATCTGATGTTATATAAGGGTATAATGCTGTCTACAATGCCAGAGGTTAAGAAGCCCTTGTTTTATGTTATGACACATCTAGACTAGGAACAGCAATCTGTGGTAGGCCAACACAACTGATTTGACACTCTCACCTGTCAGTCATCACCTGTCACTACATTTACAGTTATTTTAAGGTGATAATTGCAGACACACATGATGCACTGCTGCCTTCATGACATCTCCCCAAGGCAAGGGAGTTAACTGACTGTAAACAAGTTCTACTAACTAGGCTGGAATTATGGAGTTATATTTTGGCTGGACTATAGAACCTATGCATAGTCCAATTATAGTCTGATTTGCAAAACCTGAGTGCCATCAATAGCATTATGCGTTGACAGATATTTCCAAATCTTTTCATGTTTTTAGTCAAGTGATTTGATGCAGTTTGCAAGGTAAGGCCTGTCTTATCACAATATACATCTTGATTAACGATAGATCAATTTCACTGGGCGCTGCCTCTACGATCAAGCTACAAAATTCCAGCCTAGTTCAGCACAGGTGGAAACTGGAATGTTGTGTAGTCAGTTAACTCCCTTGCCTTAGGAAGATGCCTTCATCATGGAGACAGCTTAACCGACCGAAGTAATAAGATTTTACAATTAAGATTATATTGACATACCATTGTCATATGCCAAATATGGAAATGATTGCATTAACAGGTTTTTTTAAATACTCAAAATCCTGATATATTAAGATTGCAGCTTTAATCTACATACTTTGTGTTGCATCAATGAAACAACTAGTACATTGTTTTGGGGATGCATCCACATGTAGTTGGAAGATGGTTGTAGTTTTTGTTGAAGTGTGTACATACTTTTGTTTCTGTTCTTGCAAGGGTACTGACATTACGAAAAAAAAATTATTATTTGCATATTGATTTCTTCTTCATTTTTGATGGAAATATTACAAATTAATCTGATGTAAAGGCGGAATTGCCCTTTGAAAGAGTTCTGTTATAATCTACTTCAAATGATAGATCTGTAAAGACATTTTCGTAACTGAAAATATTCTTAAGGCTAGACCAATTCTTTGTGTTTTAAATATGAGGCAATCCTAAATTTTTGAAGTAAAGGTTGGTTGTAATACAGTGCTCACCTGAAAATATTTTTGGAAAGATCAGACAAGGTTGACTTGTGATCAAGTAATCAGTTTTGTGTCAAAATATCTTTAATACTTAGGGTTTTCATACAGTTATTTTATTTCCATAACAATCCTTGCAACAGTCTGGGTGACCCAGTCATCAATAGTGGCACAATTCACTGAGCAGAGTTGCTTCCCTTGGGTGTGCCAGAAACCTATGATCATAGGTTTGAACCCCAGTTAATCCTGATTATGTATCTTGGTTTGTCTGCACCATACCCAGGAACTGTCACCAATGTGGTAAACATCTAAGACCTGTATCACTTCAGGCTTTCCTTCCACAGTAAGCTGTGACACTTTTAAACCAAACTCACATGTGTGTTGAATGTCAGCCTGAATGTTCTTCAGAATTTCTTGATTAGATGGCCTTTAAAGGGACATGGAACAAAGCCTCTCATCAGACTTATTTTTCCCAAAATGAGAAAACTAGACAGTGATGAGACCTTGCTTCACTGATGGTTGCATAGTTTGTGTGAGAACAGGACTTCCAGTCAAATCTGGACAAGGTGACACTCATAAGACAAACTAGTATTAAAACCACAGTTTTTAGCCAACAACTTTTCCCAGTCAAGACTTTAAACAATATGTAAGTTTGATCTAGCCTTTCATGACTTCATAAGTTGGTTGCATTACAGATTCTTAATGTTTTGTTTCATGTAACAAGCTGTTGATTGTTTGCATTATCAAAACATAGCTGGAATGCAATCATTGTAGATGTGCATTTCAGAATGGTGTCAATGTCCTTGTCAAATGTGTATGCAAGTTTTCATCACAAACTGCTTGCTTTTGTGAAAGTATTCAAGCCTTTCAGTTGCATATCAAAATACAGAGTAAAAACATTGTGTATATATCCAAAGCAATGTACATTATCAGTTGTTTTCAGTTGATGTGAGACATATCTGGACATACTCTTGCTATAACCCCTATGATAAGGAAATGGTATGATCCATTCTTTGAAGTGAATGATTCTATTCCTTCATAGAGGGTATGTGTATATTTCGTATGAAATATGAGTAATCTACTTGGTTCTGATGTTGATTTCAGTTTAACAGCTACAAAAAATATTTTTTATCTTTTCATTTATTTCAAATATGATTGATAAAGGATTATGTTAATATTTAGTTTTTAGTTACCTTTTTGAATGGTATACAATTGTATTTTTAGCATTTTTAGCATCCACAGCTATATTTCATGTACTCTGGCACTTGAATAATATTTTTTTTCTGGTGAAAATGCTATGAATTTGAAACTTACTTTTGTTTAAACACAAAAAGTGTTTATGCTATTCGTTTCCTCTGAAAAATAATAATGAAAAAGTCTCCCTCTTGTGTCAATTTTCTCGAATTATATCTGAAATATTGTTTGGACATTAAAGGGAAGTTCATGTGCATGTATGTTGACAGTAGCATATATTATATAACAAATTCAGTTGTTCTTTGCTCACGATTCACCTTTCACATTACATGTACCAATATTGTCAAGACTGGAGTTTCATTTCGCAAGGGACAGGCTGAAGGACAAAATGGCTACTATCAAATTTATCATTGAGTATACCATGGTGACAGGTCAATAAGTATATGAAATCTACATCCCTTGATAACCAGCTGGCTGCTGACAGACAATGGGAATCAGTCTGCATGCAGGTTGTGATGTCTCTAGCCAGGTCTTGCTGTTGTCTGCTACAGAATGGAGGCCATTTTGTTGTGATACCATGAGCTGTGTCACGTGATCTGCAACAGTTCGAATCACGGGAGATCTTGTGGACTGGAATACAGAGTATTGCCTCCATTGGTCACAGTGGATTGGTTACAGCTGACCCCTGTTGTTTTGGATGCCGTCTTCAGGACAACAACTCTAAGGACTATCAACATATATTACAAAGGTCTTTACTTCAAAGCCTTGATTCCTAATTCCAGACATTTGTCAAATTGGTGATTTCACTTGGAATGTCTGATGTTGACTAAGTATTTATTCTTGCTTTCTGCTTTCGGCAAGAATGCAATATACCGGACACCTTCTGACATTTTGGTAAGGGATGTGCGCATGCTCATTCCTCAGTAACGGTTTCCTAAAGGAAAAGTTTTTCAGACACCATTCTTTGTCGCCTCGCTAAAATAAAAGGGGGTTTAGGAGGCTTGCCCCCAACTTGAATTAAATGTTTTCGTAAGTAAATGTCATGTTTAATTACCAAAGTACATACAAAATACGTGTTCACTAAAGTGTGACTCCAACGAATGTCACTGATGAGGTTGTCGCACGCCATTATGGAACTTCTATTTCAAGTTCTTTTTCTAATTTTTGTCTAAGTTTCAATGTTTATGCATCGCTTTGATATTCAATATCAAGGTTTATCATGTTAAAACCAATGCAAATTGTTACCAATAGAAGAGGGGTAATTTTTTCTGCTTATTTTGAGCTTTATCGACCTATTTTTCAAATTGTGATGCTGTCGCATGCGTCTTTATTAGTAGCATCAAACAAACGTGGTGAAGAGGTGTCTGGTATAATGCATGTGTAACCTGCTTTCTCTATTTGTGCTAACAGATTGACACATCTCTTGACACCAAGACAGATGTCCGGATAATTTGTTGTCATCTCCCATATTTATTATTCCTCAATTGGTTATCAGACTTTTATGATTTCAATGTACAGCTGTTTTTATTTAATACTTTAACTTATATTTACACTGGTGGTGTACATGTATCATATACACTGATGGGAAAAATTAAGGGAACAGCTAGCAGTTTGGAAGAAGTGCATGAGTGAGTTGGGTTTGCTTCTGTCACTGTTAGCAATATTCCAGCCATATCAATGCAGGGGACAATGAGAATTGACTTCACATAGTGAACCCATGTGAGGAATTGAACCAGGTCTTCATTGTGACAAGCAAATGCTTCAACCACAGGGCCACCTTACCACCCCCTGGTACATATCACCAATACCAGTGTTTATACCTGCCATTCTCAAGGAACCACTCGCCATTCTTGAATGACATGTAAAGCTGTAGTCAGCAATACTCCAGCTATGACACAGTCTGGGCCTGGTAAACCAGTGGTTGATAACATGAGCACCAACCCATGCTGTTGAGGTAGGCTGATACACAAACACCCAGGTCATCTTTCCCCCTGATCGTCATTGATCTGAATCGTACAAGAGTAGGAACTAGGAAATTCCCTTTGAGATTCATGCTGAACATCTTCTATACTGGTTCCCTTCGTATATGTTCCCTTATTTGGTTCCGTGAGTATATGTTGCATGCTTGAAGGTCACTATTATTTGTTGGAAGAAAAAGTGGTTTGTCTGTTTGAATTAATTCCTTGTGTGCATATTTTTGGTAACAGTTTGTATGACAAAAATGTTCCATGAAAAAGTTGCATTTTTCTAATAGAAAGACCACATAAGGCGGAGTCCCCATGTTAGGTTGTCTATACAATTTGTGAGTTGGGTTCTAGAATTAGTTGCACCAATTTCAAATAACATTCTATAACTTCTCTTTTTTTCAGGTTGCCCATGAGATTTTCAATCATTTAAAACTGAACTGAGAACCTTTTACTTTTTCTGCTTTGCTGGTATTCAAATCAGGTGATTTTGGACGGGTGTCTTGGTCAGACAAACCTTCTACAGTATGTAGCATATGTTTTGCTGTTGTTACTTGATGCCAGACAATGAAATTGTCCTTTTTTTTAATTCTTAGCCCCCCCCCCCCCCAAAAAAAATGTATTATAATGTCAGGGTCCATTTTAGGTCAGTTTTTCCTTCAAGTACAAGCAAAAAGAAGACAGAATTTAAACACAGTAGCATTTTCATTTTCTCCTTAACTTTTGCTGAATTAAGAAGAACACCACTTGGTCTGTCCCAGATAACAGTGTTATGGTCACAGTAGGAGGCCAAACATCAGAGTTGCAGATCAGTCTCTGCTTGAAGCCAGACATCAATGGCTGAAGACATGTTAGGTACCAATTGGTTGGTTGGTTTATTTTAATATCAAAACAGTAAAAGTTGAACAATTGTTTGGTGAAGCTCATACATGGCCTCAGTAACAGCTGATACAGCTATCACTGAGGTGGGCACTATTGTGACAACTAGTCATGAAGGATGTCAATTACATGCAAGTGTTTGTGATTGCCAATGTCATATTTCAATTTGACTTCAAATTACAGCTGTAATAACTTTATAGAACTGCAGTGTTTCATTCAGAGATTTACCTGCTAGCCTTTGAGCACAATAACATATGTTACAGTGGGACCCTGTTTAACGGAACACCTGTCAATTTGGTCCACATACTAGTAAGTGAATATCCCCATATCTGAATCAGTAGTTCCGGGGCTGCAGTGGTTGAAATAAGCACCTGCCCGTAGGCCCGTGGCAGGTAGATTTGTGTCGGGCCGTAGTTTCAACGTTGTATAGGTCCTTATGGCCTGCAGTAAATTTACATGTTCATTTATTTGTGACAGTAAACTGCAGTGTTTGACATGAGGGCCTGAAGAGTTTATTCAGGGCCTGCAGCTTCTAAAGTCTGTGGGTCCTGATGGCGGCCTCGCTATTTGTTTTATATCAAACACTGCCAGGCTGTCACTCAAACATCAGCTCACTGTCTCTATGGGGCATGAGTGGCCCAGTTATGTAAGATGCTATGCAGAGTTGCATCCCATGTCCATGCCAGGATCTGCTGAGTGCATTCAAATACAAGCTACCTAAGTGAACCGTAATTGAAATACTGTTCAGTTTGAAACCCAACTCAAACACTCAAAGTTTCAGCATTATTTGACTCTGATTTATGAGCACTATTAAGGTAGTGAGTCAACTTCATACCCGTTGGTGATATGCGACTTTGAATATATGTTGATAGAGGCAAAGGGTCAGTCAGGTAGCCAAGTGGTTAAAGCGTTCGCTCGTCACGCCGAAAATCTGGGTTCGATTCCCAACATGGGTACAATGTGTGAAGCCCATTTCTGGTGTCCCCCGCCGTGATATTGCTGGAATATTGCTAAAAGCAGCGTAAAATCTAACTCCCTCACTCACTGATAGAGGCAAAGGGTCATGTCAGAAAGGCACTTTCTTTTCTCAGCTTAGATTAAAGTTTCAGAACTTGTTTTCAATTTCCTTTTGAATATTTTGTCCTGATTTTCAACACAAGGCAAAGTCAAGATTATGTAAAAGAAATACAACCAATATATTCCAGATTTTGAGAAGTCTGACAGTGCAAACGAATTCCTATTTAACCTTGAATGAAACAATACTGAAAGATACGGAAACTGAAGCTTGGCCTTTCAGTGAATTAGAATTGTCCTGTGCTGGCATTGTTGTGCTGAAACATATTGGAATATTGGGTTGGAACAATATATAGTACTCAAAAGAAGTTAAAGAACACCCAATTTTTCCCTATGACTACAGTTAATCTGTTTTGACAGGTGGGTATTGCAACATACAGCCTTCCCGTTGTGGGTGTTCTTTAACTTGTTTTGAGTAGTATATGTGTATTGGTGTTTGCTCATGTTTCATTGCACTCTAGAACATCTCATGGCAGCATATGTTTTATAAAGTATATCTCAAACATGTTATGCAACCAGTCTCAGTAAATATATGTTGTTGGAAGCTTAAACAAAAGCAAAGAAAGATCACACTGAACTCTCGTTAGTTACTCAACTCTTTGTTGTTTCAGAACCACAAGTAAATGTTTCTTATATTTCCAGCACCATAATTTCATTGCCTATTAGCCTGTTGTGACTAAGGAAATCTCTGAAACAAGATATCAAACTTAGTCACAAAATGTTTCTGATCAACAAAATACTAATTTCATCACTGCCCCGAGGTGTAGCAAAATGTCATCTCTTGCCTGTACAGCTGGTGTACCGGGTACATGTCATTAGGACAGATATATGGGTACCACCAGTTGTACTCCCAGTTGTTACACTGATCACATGTCCTGCTATGTCCCATGGTGCACTAGGGGTCTTTAGATGTCACCGATTACCTTGTGTTTTAATAGGTAAATGAGGTGAGGCATATTGAGCTATCCACCTATCCAACCACAGCACACATGAATGCTGGACTGTTTTGTGTGTCAGTTCTATATAACTACCAGATCTTTATCCATGGTCAGATAGGTGTGACATTCACATAATCCCTCTCACTAAACCTAAGTGTCACACAGACAGCATTCACCTTGTTGATAACCACATCCTCCCCGAGATGTCTGTCGCCTGCTGCTGGGATCTCCTAGACTGAGATCTGTTGAGAAGCTAGGATCTCCTAGACTGAGATCTGTTGAGAAGCTAGGATCTCCTAGACTGAGGTCTGTTGAGAAGCTGGGAACTCCCGGACTCCTCTGCATTGTCAGCAGTGAGTGTGTTGGGCACAAATAGACCTTTAATGGTCCAAGTCAGCCTAACACCCAAATAACAGTACCACCACCAGGGAGTAACCACATCACATGAGTCTCTGAGAAGCAAACACATTCGTCAGTAATGATGAGGTGTTCTGGATCTTGTCTTCAGCTAGGATGTTTTCCAGGAGGATAGTCTTCACTGGTTCCTATTTTGACAAGTAATATGTTTACCAACATGGGCCTAGAGCTGGGGAGGAAGAAGTGTATTCGGGAGAGTAGTTTATGTTCAAAATTTACAGTTTTATTTTTGAAAAGTAATGGACTTATTTTGATCCATATAAAGACTGTCAGCCTGTCTATATGTGCTCATTACAGGAATGGCAGAAATTCTATTCTATTCTGTTCTAGAACGACACACGTTTTCATTTTGTAAAGCAGATTGACATATATGTTTTTCCTTTTGTAAACCAGAATGACACATTACTTCCTTTAAATCCTTGGAGCAAGGCTACATTGGCCAGTAGCAGTACTTAAACGCAGACCTTATATAGGCATCGTTGTATATATTATTGGTGTTAGAGTCACTAGACCTCTGCAAAAGGTAGGCTGTAAACAAGTAAAGTGTGAACAAGAGCCTATTATACTGGTATATGAATATGTTTGATTGTAGCACACAGTATCCCTTGTCTCCATCAACTCTCATCATTCAGCCTAATATCAAGAATGTGTTTATCACTGATAGTAACCTGTAACAGAGAAGGGAGAATGATATGTGATGAGCACACAGTGAACATACACTGGCCAATGTATCCCACATCTCTACCCTTGATCTCTGTACCTTGATCCCTTGGCTCTCAAACATAAAGCGTAATAATGCTGCAAACTGCTTTTGGAATCCCGGCCATGTTATCAGTGTTGGAAGTTAATGCTAGAGAGGAGTATGTGGGCTGTAGACAGCAGCTTGCCCTGTTGACAAGTTCATTCATACGGAAATGAACTTGTTTCACTCATACAACTGTTCTTCAAAAGTTCATTTGATAAACACATATACTTATTCAACCACTGAGCCAATAGAAAGAAACATAATATTAAAAATGACACCTTCCTGCAATTTCGAACTGGTCACAAACAATCCATTGTAGGATCTTCAGTCCTTTCACAAATCAAGTGGTCTCCCTGTACAGAGTTACAGCCCTTAGCCATGTGAGGATCTGCAGATCTTGGGGTTGAATCCAAGATTTGATCTTTAATAATCCTTGGTGTGTCAGCACAACATCCTTGCCTGGGTTTCATCAGACTGGTGCATGTCTAGGACCAGCCTGACTTGATGGCTCTGCCCCCACAATGACATCTCTGTGTATTCGGAGCCCACCTAGCTTTGTGGTGTGTGTTAATTTCCAACACTGGTTGAGTAGGCCTAGCCAGGAGAAGGCTGTGTGTACGGGCTGCAGCTTCAGATTGCCACAAGGTATTGGTGTATGTATGACTGTGTTTATATGTTTGTTACCTTGTGTGGAAGTGCTCTGTATGGTCTGTAAATAAAACCTCTCACACATTGCTAACAGGCTGGTCTGTTGTTTTTTGTGTCGGAAAGGGATTTTGTTTGTGACAAATCCCAACTGGGGGATTCTGGAGCAAAATATGTCCACATACCTATGCTTCTAACAACAGAGGTTGTATAGATTCTGGGGCAGATTACACCCCCAAAACCAATGGTTGTCATCCTACTATGCTCGTAGCAAGAGGCGACTAGTCAGGCTCACTGACTTGGTTGATGCATGTCATCCTATCCTAATTCCACAGGATTGTCTGGTCCAGATTCAATTATTTACAGATATTTATTTGGATTTTCTACAACAAAATCTATACAGGATTGTCTGAACCATTTCCATAATTACCTAATCGAGATCAATACCACTAAACAAAGAGACGTGTGCTGTTGCAGTGTATCATAGTCCCGCTTTACACTGGGAACTCCTCACACTGCCGTTATATATACAGACACCCCATGTCTGCACCACACGTTGCCAGATAGCTGGCCCAATATAGGTTGATCTTTAATCCGACACCGCCGACCGTTACGTTGGATAACACAGGGTGAAGCCAGTGTGACCTCTAACCAGGCTCAATGTGTTGTGCTCGCCCTTATACAAGTATAATATTACCCCGTCTTAAGAGCATTGCCTTCCCCTGAAATTTGTCTTTTCGCTTCGTTGGTTACATTTACCGAAGATTATAAACTTGATTTCATTATTTCTTTTTCCATTTATATTTCATAGTATAGGACGACCAAGGTTAAATAGTATCACTGACGGTAATATGTTGTCGGCTTCATTTCAACATCGAAAGATGACAGCGTATTCTCTAACCATACCTCCATTGGACAACCAGGACACCTTTTCGACATTTTCTTTAGCAATTTGGTTTTGAATTGGTCGAACGTCAAATAAAAACTTTATGTCTCGTAATGTTTGCATCCTCAGAACAAAACAGAACATGTTACACATGAGATTAATCTATATTGTTTGTCAGATGAGAAGCACATTCTGCTTCAGGAAGGGTAGCATCGAGAGCCAAAACTATGACTCTCGAATGTGTTCAATACGACTGAGTATCAGTCAGATGCCGGGAGTCAATGTAACAGAAAGCAACTGTCGCATTGTCCGGACGCTCCAAAAGTTACCTGCTTTGATATCGGTAAGCAGGGTAAGCCGATACCACCCGCCGCCAGTTGAACTGTATGTAACTGTGGTGTTAGTGGAGTTTGTTTCATACACGGGTGTAATGTTCACTGTATAGGTTATAGCGTTCGGTAATAGCAAGGTAGGTGAGGTTTCGTCATCGCCGTGCGGACATACCGACCCTATGGATTTATATAGTCGCCTAAAGTAAAATGAAAATTTATTGACGTGTACCGAATTTCATTAAGACTCAAACTCATTAAAATCAAATCTTTTATTCCGATCCGATTCCTCTCACGAGTCATTAGAATGGGGTAGAGGATTTCAGTAAAAAAACAACTGTGTTCTGGAATACAAGTAATTTGCAAATGCATATCAAACAATGCAGTGTTTCAAGCACCTTTAATGTTACACAAAGACGGGACACTTAAGTTGCCATTGAGCGAGACAACAAACTATACTACTAAAACAAGTAAAGGTTTACCCGATTCTTTCATATTATTATAGTTAACTTGTCATGATTCTTTCATATTATTATAGTTAATCACCCATGGTATGACAGATTAGTTTTTGTAATATGGAAGATTCGAGTGGTCCTTAATTTGTTTTTAGTAATTAAGATGTAATCTCCTCCCAGCATTGAGTTCACAGAGCATATCACCCCGTGAAGATCCGGGGTAGAATAGGTCCATCTTATCACCTAGACAGCCAGACATATAGATAACATATAAATACACACACTTTATGTAGCACGCCTTTAAACGTTGTCTGGTTGTGGAATCAACGGATGACATATTTCTCACGTACTGACATATGCGTAAGTGCGAAATAGAGACCAGCTTGAAGCAAACCTGGTTCCAACGGAACCCAGTCATAAATTGTCTTGCGCTCATGTGAACCACTTCCTTATTTATCATCACGTGGTGTGAATAGGTGCATTTGCCCCCGCCTCATAATAATGTTTCTCTTTGTGAAACTAAACACTGTGCTCAAAATTATGTACAGGTGACTTTGAAACTCGTATGATATTAATACAAGATAACTTTGATCCTGTGGGTCAACACGGCGCAATTGGTTTTGTAGCACACCTTCCTATTGATGCTAGTACCTGTATACTGTCATAAAGCCGTCAGAAGAACCGACCTGTAATTTGCATGTGGTGCCTTCAGAATCAGGAATGAGAATATGGCACATTTCAGGGATGAAAACAAACTAGTAATATGTTTTCATTACATTGAATTCATGGAACATTTGATATTGTTTTCAAGGAATATGGGGTATTAAGTTGACACACTCATAGTGATATACATGATACTGTTGACATTGATATATCTACAGTGGTAAAGTTATAAATATGTTTTCATAATTAATCTTTTCAAGTAATAGCGACAATGTTGTCATATTTTTTTATGGAAGTAGATCTGCACATATAGACATGCTGATATTGTTACAATTGAAAGCCACAAAATTGCGAGTGAGTTTGTTATTTTTAACCATGAACTGTACTTCTTTATGAGAGTTACCTCCCTAATGGTAAAATGTTTACTCCTGTTGCCTGACTCGTCAATTATTCACACTTTCCAAAAGTGCTAATATCTCGCTACACGGAGACTGGGTCAACGTTTCCCAAATAGCGATATGCTGTAGGCATGTCTCCGTCCCTCTCGACATGACAGACCCGCTTCACGGAAATCGGTCAACGTTTCACCGTTGCCAAATGCTGTCTATGGGGAAATAGGACCAGACTGCATGGTACCCTGCCCTTCGCCTCCTGGCAACGGCAGGTAAACCAGTCTAGGACAGGACGTAGCTCCCTGTTATGAGTGTTGCCAAATAACATAAACATGTTTAGTGTAATAATTTACATTTTGGGAATGTTTTAAAAATATATATTCATAATTATTTATTTATTTATTTATTTCGTATGTACACATATCATCATACACATATAAAACAAAGATAAAGTTTTTTTTAAAAGTTTGGTTACATCTTTCCAGCGATTACTTATCCCCATGGCCCACGCTTCCGTGTCATTTTCTCAAAGCCATAACAAATAAGGCAAAATTCGCAAATTTGGAATAAAAACCCAATTTACTGTACCGAAGTAGCATTGAATACAACATGGTGTTTGGCCTAGACTTGCGCAAGTCTATAAGGCAAAAATTATTAGTTTAAAATCATAATTTCTAGATTATATAAATAATAAGAACAAGTTTTCACTATGAGAGACTGGCATCATGTACTTTCCGCTTATCTGGACTTGCCTATAATATAAGGACAGAATGACTATACACCCAAGGCAGCCCTGGAGCAAGGTTTTGTTTAGCCGCACGAGAAAGTGAACCGGCACGCTCTTAAAATATTACTTCCGGACATGACAGCTAAACTTTATTCAGTCGAGTTTGCATGACATTAGAGAACTAACGACTAAGTTGTTTTAATAAAACACTTGTAACTGGGAATTTTGCTGACGCAGCAGTCCGTAAAATCATGCTATATCACGACAGTCTGTATAATTAAGCAGGGCTCCAGATGATATATATGGGCCATTGAGTATTTACTCACTTGTTATCATTCACATTGGGTATTTATTGGGGGAGCTGGGATTCCATCCAAAGAGATATATTGTCCCCGAAAAAGAAACATATGCTTCAAGCTGATGAAACGAAAGAAATAAAAATACAATACTGCAATGTGTTTTTGTTTTAACAAATTCAGTCTCATCGTTTTTAATTTTGAAAAATATTCTGGTTTTGTAGCTGCAGCTGATAAAATATCTAATCCTGATACAAATCGCATCTTATAAATTAAACTGTGCCAAGCGTCAAACTTTACCCCATTAATTGAAAAAAGAAATATTTTTCGCATGTTTACTAAGACCATTAGAAAGACCGACCAATTCCGGCTTGTATGCGAATTTGCCAAGACACATTAGCAGTATGAAAACGGGTCAGCACTATATAACGAAAACGGATCAGGACCCCGCTCCACAAATCGATCAGCGTAAGCCTTTGTAAAGCCCGTGTTAAAGTATGAGAGTTACGATCATCTTAGCGCTAATATCGCTTTGTGAAACGGGGCCCAGCACTTTGGTGTGAAAAAGGTGTCAGTACTATATCGTGTGAAAACGGGAAAACGTCAGTAATAGCTAGGCTTATTCCAAGGAAGTCTATCGTCACTTGATCAGAAGTATGCACACAAGATGTCCTTCTTGCACGAAATAGCCTAACCTTCCGTTATCGTATATGTGCAGCTAATACATTGACTATGTTACACTATTTCAATCTATGCCAGGTGTGAACTTCGACAGGCAACCCAAGTACCGGACTAAAAATGAAATGAGGAACCTTTTCATATTTTTATTAAAATATCGTTTAATATATTAATATATTCTATCGTATTATTAATGTATCGTTTTTATTTCATTTTTAATCAGTAATCGGGCTATTGTGTCACTGGATTGTCTGTTCTGTTGACGGGCCGCCCTCATATGGCAGGAGCAAAAACAAACACCTACTATTTCATGCAACTTGTGTGAGTTTCGGGTGCTACTGCATGGTATAGAGCAGGACATGCTTACCCATACCGCGACATCTGGTGTCGTCTCTTGTCATTGATCCATTCACATAATTTTCACCACTATTTTGCCAATCTGTTTGGGCGGATTATCGAGACATATTATTCTCTAGCGTTGACGATTTATATTTACACGGTGAGCTAACAAAATAGACTAGATAGTTTATATCATTATGCCATTTAGCGACCTCGAGCTATACATGCATGGCACCTGTCGACATAGTCCTGTCGTGACGCTGACAAATGGCGTCGAAAAAACTAGACCTTGCAGCTTGCGGTGGAATGTGTTCGCATGCCGAACATGT